TGAAATCTACTGCGACCCCTCTACTCCACTTGGTCAAATATGAATAATCAGAAATTTTCTGATTTTTTACAGTTCAATTATTGGACTTGATTAGATTCTGCTCAGCGTGTAACAGAATTGTTCAAAACTGAGTATTTCCCTCATTACGTATATGCCAAAAAAATACTTTATCAGAAATAATTAGGACAAAACTTTTAAATTCGAAAAATCAGGGTATACAAACGTGACTGTGGATCTTGTCCCACGGTACATATCGGTCAGACAGGTCGTACGTTCAATCAGCGCATTCATGAAGATAAGGTGAATTTTTTGAAAAAAAAACGCCAACCATATATTAAAAGAAAACCGTAGTTTTGATGATAATTTCGAAATTCTACACGTAGAAAATAGAGGGATAAAACTCAATAATTTTGAATTATTTGAAATCAGCAAACTCAAAAATTCTAACATATTACTTAACGATCAACTAAACCTCAATAGTTCTACACTGTTGAATTTGTTTTCTTAGTAGGTGTTAATATGTATATGTACCCTTTCAAGTTAATTCGGTACAATGTATTGTAATGTAGATATTGTGCCAATTTTCTGAAAATGAAGGTTTATCGAACCTGTCCACAGGTAATTCTAATCCTTCAGGTTGGGAAAGTAGGATATATAAAAGATAGGCAAGCCAAGGTTAGTTTAGTTAAATGTACCAGTATTTCACCTGATGAAGCTACTGTGTTAGCGAAACATGTCGTGTGATTAAGAAATTTATTCACAACCATATATGTAATGTTGTCATTACTAACGTCATTGAAGGTTGGGAAGTGTCACATTACACACCTCTACTTCCCGTCCTCACCTCCCGCCCTCACTTATCTAATATTTTAGGTATGTTCAGAACGAGACAGATATTTATTAATTTTGATCGAAATATGATGGTTGTAAATAAAACAGTATACAAACCTCGGTAGGAAGTTTCATTCCTGTCTCGAGATCATAGCTAACCTTGACGCTTTGCGTCTCGGTTAACTAACTAATCTCATGACAGGAATGAATCTCTTCCAACCTCGATGTGAAATATACTATTGTGGAAATCTTATCGTTTGTGAAGTTTTTACATTTAAATATACTTTCACCATTTCTATGAATAGTGCAAGCATGTTTTTTTCAGTTTGGGTCTATGGGTGATGTGTGAAATCAACGATACATTTTTCTCCGTATATACGGTGGTGCTATTCAAGGTAACACATTTTGAGTCATCGGACATAGAAGGCGGTTTCAAATCTTTCGCATATTGTTAAAGTCATATACAATTCCTATTCAATCGGACAGAAAAACATTTGTTTCATTCAAAGAAAGTTAAAAATGTATAATGTGTGTTCAATAAACAATCATTCTTACCAGGAGAGCATGAATACTAGATCCCTGCGGGATAAAAGGTGAGCGAGTCGCAATATTGCAGATCTACATTAGTAAGACAGAGAAAACATTATATTGTTTGCCCGCATGTTGGAACCGACCTATGAGTCTGCTTCTACAAATACACTCATCGGCAAAAATACCGGCCAGCAAAAAATTGAGCCAAATTCATCGCCCTTTAACTTTTTCAATTCTTTTCCGATTCTGATATTTCGACTAAATCGTAGATTTGTGTTTCGGAGAATTTCAATTCTCGAAGGAAGCTGATGGTTTGATCTTTATACAGGGGAAAACAACGGTTACTCTTTCGCCCTCAACTTCTTGACGATCTGTGGTAAAGGTGAGTGGTTAAACTTAGCTTGTTTATATTTCGGATTCAGAACTATTTTCCAGCCTTCTAGTTCATCATCTTTTGGATTGATCTGTGATCCCTTTTCGTCCTTTTTCAACACAATGGTTCTTAATTCATGTCAATATCACCTTTTCAAAACGTAATACAGGTGTTTCAAGAAAGTATGGATTTTTCAAATTTTTATCAACAATAATTCAATACCTCTTGATTTTTGGGATGAACTCAAGAGGCTCACTCGTCCAGCCTTGTCAAAGACTCCCCAGCTACGATTCTCCCCTATGTGGAGAATTTGAGGCAACTCCTCAAGACTGTTGAGAAATGTGATCCAGTCGATTTCACGGTGGTTGAATACTGTAATTCAGGTTCGAGTTTGTTTTTAGTAATCAATTAGAGTTTCTCTTTGATAGAAACGGGGTGGGAATAAGTAATATCAATTTTGAGATGTTTTTTCAAGTTCTTTATCAATAAGTTCATGTATGTTCTGCAAATTTAAAAAATCCATATTTTTTTTAAATATTGACGTGAATCGAAGACCATTGTGCTAAGAAGGGATCACAATTCAATCCAAAACATGATGAAGCTCAGTTAAATCACTCACTTTTGCCACAGGGCGTTAAGAAGTTAAGCGTGGAAGAGTAACTTTTGTATTTCCCTGTATAATGATCAAGTCATCACCTTTTTTGGTCACTAAAATTCAGCTTGAAATGTCGACAGATAAATCTACAATTTGGTCGGATTTTCACCAATATCGGACAAGAATTTGAAAAGTTACGGGGCGATCAAAATGGCTAATTATTTTGCTAGTCGGTTTTTTTTGCCGGTGAGTGTATATATGTATAATAACAATATGAATAACATATTTGAATTTCAGCTTTGCTGAGATAACGGAAATTTTTATAAAATTTTTGAAGCTTTGAAATTCTATAAAATATAGTTGGAACTCGAATAAGTGTCTGCCATTGATTTTTTTTATAAAAAAAATATGTACGTAATATGTAAGATATTAAAACAGCAGGTTTCACCTACGGCAGGTGAAATAGTATACCTAGCATCAATGTGGAGTTTGCTAACATACCGGAAGTCTGCCAATCGTTGCCTCTCAAGACTATATTTATTCAATCGCTTATAGAAACTCTGTATTCAATTAACTTTCTAATGAAAATCGTATTTCATTTGAACTTTTCAAATTGTCGGTACATCAAGATAGAAAATTGAAATCCCAGAACGTTCAGACGAACTATTTCCTTACTTCATTATATTTATAAAAAGAATACGCGCTTTACGTTCAGTTTTGAAATACTCTTTATAATGCAAGTATATATATTCCATCATTATTTTTAAACTGATTGATGGAATTACAAAACATCACATTCTCACTATATGTAGTGAATTATGTTCACACCGGAATCGACCAAATAAAAAAATTACATCAACAAATAATGCGAAATGCGACGTACTTAAATTAGTCTGAATTTCAGAACTTCATCTTGAATGATTACAGGGGTGACCCGGTTTCCGTGGCAACTCGGTTTATCACTTTTTTTCTTTTCAGGGGGCTTTGATTTCAAAATGAGTCAACTTTAATAACTTAGGGTAAGCTGTGTTCGATTTAGATATCAAGGAAGCAGATTAATACCAGAATCGTTCGGATTCTATGTGTATTTTACCCATCCACAGTTACCACTTCTTTAAAACTCAAATTGAAATTCAAAGAGAAATAATTGAAATTTTTCGTGAGTTGAAACCAGAAACAGTTTGATATCAACAATATAAATATATTGCAATATTTCCGAGTGAAAAATTTCACCGGCACACATCACCTTACTTCCAGATGCGAAAGCCGCCTCTGATGTTCGATGGGTAAAAATATCCTATGGACGGAAAAAAATATCGTTGACTTTATACTTATTTCAGTGGCATATTCAGAGTGAAAAAAATACCCATTTTAAGGCTAATTTGGTTACACAGATCAGTATCTTATTAAGTTCTATAATTAAACTGAGAATTAAGAATATTAGCCAAGTGGAGTGGAGTGGTCGCAGCAGATTTCAACCCATTTTAGTGAAAACGATTTCCCCTCGTAAACATCGCGACGTCGTACATGCGCATACAAATCCGATTCTGGAAGGACTAGGTTTGGTATCGGAAGTTGGATGGTCTGTGGTATCGGCAATATGTGTCCAGCAGGGATGTAAACCTTGATTAATTTGATAATTTTGCTCTGGTAATGTATTGACTGGATTTTAGTTATAAAAATGTATTTCAGGATACAAAATTCAGACTGCAAAAACTGCAGTAAAAGTTTCAGGGTCGGTTGCACTAAGCATTTGACAGATGATTAAATTTTCAATTTGTTTGAATTCACAGCTGATGAGTTAGATGAGTTCATTCCTAATTAAGTTAACAGCAAGTCTATGTAACCGGCTTTCAGGCTAAAATATCTGAAAAGTAATTATTTTTGTTTCATCTGTGATGTAAATTTCAATTGGCTTACACGGGGCTTTCATTTCAAAATCAGTTACTTATCGAGAAAGCAGAGATACCAGAATCGATCAGATGTAATGTTTATTCTACGTACCCACAATCATCGCTTCTATACAATAAAAATTCGAATAGAAATAATTGAAATCCCTTGAGAATTAGAACGTGAAGTAATTTGATATCAACAATATTTATCCTTTTCCAAGAAAACTTAACATGACATGACATATTCAGAATAAGTTTCATCATTATTTTAGACCATATTGCAACATCCATTCAGTAGGGCTTTTCAAGTGAGAAATCGAGATTATCGGGTTGTTGAGGAACGACATTTAGATAATAGGTTATGTCGGTAGCAACGAGTCTTGAAATATCACCATTTTATTTGTAATATACATATGAACTTGCAATTCGGTCAATGAACATTGATTCTGGTTAATATCACTCTGTAGACCAGTTGACACTCGAATTAGAATACATATTTCCTCAAACTTGTTGTTGCCATTAGACAATAGACACTCGAGCCCCTTATTCTATCTATCTCTAGTGATATTACTACAGAAAATATCTTCGTTTCTCTTTAAAGTGACTAATTTTAGAATTAAAGCTTTGTAGGTATAATACAATAGTGACTCATTCGACTGGTGGAAATAAAAAGAAACACATTAGGAGCTTTCATAGTGATGATGAAGATCAAAATATTCACCTCATTTTGGTCTGTTATAAAACTCTTATGCATTCTGAATTGTTTGTTTTTTTTTTTCATATCAAGAATGTCTCAAAAGTCTCCTGATAAATGGGAACTATGAATTTCTAAAATTGTTTTATATCCGTTGACGATAATTACAACGGACACAGATTAATGAATAGAGCATTTCTTAGTGCATGATGAAATGACAAGGTGTCAATCTTCAAAAGGCTAATCTTCTTTAGGAAGCAATTTGAATGAGGTGATTTATGCTAAATCAACATAAATTAACAACTAGAATTCGATTTTTGCTATAACAGTAAAGTTTATGGACATCCTCTACAGAGAAGTGCACAAAAAACGGTCAGTGCTGTAGCTTCTGAACCATTCGCGATCGGATTTCGAAAATTGGTGGGTAGCAAGTATATCAAATTGCTCATTAATTGACAGAACCATTTTTGTTCTAACACTTCCGGTTTCACCGGACACGACCCCAACTTTCATTCCATATCGTTATTTCAAAGGATTGCGAAGATATTCGCATTCTAAGTTCCGATATGCTCAATGAGTGTGACAGAGAAAGAAGTTTCGAGATTGTGAAGTCACACCCATTGAGCATATGGAATTTCGAACGCAAATATCATCGTGATTGTTTGAAATTACCCTATCATACCCGGTAACGTTGAATTCGTCATGATAATCCCTAACCGATTATGAAATTCTCTATCCCATTTAATTTTGGAGTCATTTCCGGTAAAACCTGAAGGGACACTACAAAAATTGTTTTGTCAATAAATGAGCAATTCGACATATTGGCTACCCACCAATTTTCGAATTTTGTGCACTTCTCTGTATATGACACCTTCGAATTTCATATAATAAGTATTTATCAGGATATCTTCCTTTCTCACTTTTTTCTTGTAGTTAATTCTAGTTACTGACTTACTGCCTAAAAACCTATAGTTTTTATGAGACTTGAATATCGTTTGACTGTATGGTGCCTTATTGAAATAGACTTTCAAAATATCCAACAATAATTCAACGTCATTTTGATACAAGCTTGCGACGAGAAACAAATATCACAGATTGTATCAAATAAATTAGTGATGAGAGAAAGCGCATTCTGCGAGAAGAAATGTTGCTCGAATTACGTCACAATATTGTGTCATTTTCCGCTCATGGAAGAGTTAGCGGGAAGGGTAGCAGATCGTTGATGGGCATTCAAGTATGGCTTCAGGTTAGAGCGAGTCGATTCCCTGTTAATAAAACGTGGGTTAAATATTAATCAGATGCATGAGTTGAAAAAAATGGGCTGTTTCACCACTTTGGATACAAAACCAACAAATAGACCATTTCACACAGGATGCAGTAGGTAATTAAACATGATGAATTTAACATTCCTCAAATCATGGAATGAAATATGATTTATGTATTGAGTAAAATCATGTCAGAGAAACCAAAAATGCAACAAGGAGAATCCCTTAATGAAAATGTAAGTTCAATGATGTGAAAGATTGGAGTTTGGTCCAAGATGCCAACCTAATGTATTCATGAAAACCTCTTTCTACTTTCTGCAAAGTTTTGTATTTTCTGAGAATATTATGCTGCCCTAACTGAATAACAATCATTTGTTTGAGTCAGTTCATCACTAAAACTTTCAAAATAATTAAATAATGTAATATGTCAATTTTAGAACGTTTTCAGATCTACGATTAGGTAAGTAACTAAAAAAGTCCTCAGAAAAATATGCTCAATGTATCTTTGGTCTGAATTTTTGTATTTTATGGTTCTGTGCTCAACTATACTTTACTATCCTTGTACTTATGGCTTGTCTCATGTCATCATGTTCTTTTTGTGTCAATGCAAATGTGTTTATATCAAATATTCCAATAGTTTCGAAGTTAGTTAATAACTTTATCTAACGCTGCTAGAACAGTTAAAGTAACTGACAATGTCAGATCATGCAATTAAGTTATATGATTTTCATTATTATTACAACAAGAAGACTGGAATAAATGGTTGCTGAATAAAAACAACTGCATAATATCACCAGACAGTGCAAAATTCAAAGAAAAATGATTTTATATAAATAAATTAAGTTGGCATCTTGGATACAACTACCCAACCCATTATCCATGATTTCCTAATCAAATAAATAACTTATATCGTTTGATGTTTTATCCAACAATACATTTACGTCCCGAATGGATTAACCAGAGGCTCCGTGAATGAAAATCTTGAAGATTAGTGTCGATAAAAACATGAGCGAATATTTAGCAAGGAAGAACAGATATTTCCTAGGATATACAGGACATAAAATGATTAAAGTAAATAAACGGACAATCCTCACTCACATTCAATAGTTACTGTATAATCAGATTTGATTGTTCTGGAAGATGTTCTTGTATCACTAGTAAATTCGTTCAATGTAAACACATGTATTCAAAAAATTTCACAAAGCTGATTCGATCTACACTGAATTCGAGACCAGAAAATAATATATTTATAATAACCTATCAGTTACAACACCCCCCCTATATAAAACTGGGATTGCTTGCTTAGGCAAGTCGAATATTAAATTAGAATAGGTAGAATTTTTCAAAATTGATGCTGTGGCTACACTAACAGCTAACGTGATAAATTTACGAATCTAATAGATTTTGAAAATATCAAGATTCCAGCATCACATTTTCAAATAAATATTTTGGCAGACCACTCACTTTTTTACCGCCTAACCTCTTTTAGACTAGATTTAATGATGCACAATTTTTGAGATCATACTCACGGCATGGTTTTATTTCAAATATTCGAGCTTTCCCTCTGATCATCTTTGTTGAGAGTTTCAATTTCATTGAATCGAAATTCAAAATTTTAACTGGCATATAACATTATGGCAAATGCAGCGTAAAATGGTCTATATGAACAGGAATTTTGTGAAAATTAGTTTTGATTGTAGTCACAAGTGATATATTTACATCGGGTGCGTTCCATTAAAACCCTCAACGATCAAGAACCCAACGCACGTTTCAAACCGTTCCTCTTGAGTGTCAGGCGCAAACTCAAGTGGAACGGAATTCCTGTGATTTATGATAGTTCAATTTTACTGACACTATTGACAGTACACATTTGTAGTCATTAACAATAATTGGAATGTAGAGGCGTCCATTCCATATTGAGAATTTATTCTAATGAGTTATTTTTTGGTTCGTCTTGTTTTTACGCATTGTTTATAATTGACAAGGATTCCGTTCCACTTTGCGCCCCCACATTCACTAGACGTGGACAACCACGCAGATCCATCTTTGATATTGGTCGTTGTGGACGTTTAGTGGCTTTCATCGATGACGTTTTCGAGCCCAAAAGAGCTCGACCGCAACGAATATAGTGGGACGTGTTCATTATAATCGTTGTGAGTCTTTATTGGAACACACCCAACATAGCTTTTACGGCTAACAATAACATGCGTAACTTATCCTGAACACAAACTGAAAACTAGATACAAGTCAATGAATCAAGAATATGAAGAATGAATTATTACATTCGATTATCACATGAGTATATAGGAAGCCCGTTTATTAAGAACTAAAACTTGGTTTAAATAATAAAGTGTTGCATATCATATCTTAGTGAATTAAGTTGATCAACCAAGAGCTAAGACTTATTCCTAACTTCGTGTTGTGAGATTTGTTGTGACAGCCCACATTTCAGTTTCCCCTATCAAAATATCTTTCACCAATTATTTATTTTATTTGAAAATTATTCATAGTTTGTAATGAAATACATTCTAGCAATTTGCTTTATTTGAGATATTTTGCCTAGGATATTTTATCTCTGTTACTCGTGTATTTGTTAACTCATCAATTTTATTCAAATATCCAAAGATATAGGTCACAATACATAAAAATATGAATATTTTAGTAGTAACATCGAAAATTAAACTCAAATTGAAAAAAATATAATGTCCTGAACAAATAAATTTCGCCTATTGAATTCATGCACACAAATGGATATGATAACAAGTAATTTGATGAAAATTAGGAACTGAGTTTTATTTTGTTTTCTAATTCAATGATGTGTTAGTGGTGTTAAGGCGCACTATCCGAATATGTATAAAATATAATACAAATGTGTATTCATTAAGGATAAGTGATTCATCCGACTCAGATAGTAGTAATCCCTGATGAGAATACAAAAAGGTCTGTAACTGAAAGCTGATTCAACTAAAATTGTTCAACTTATAGTTTGAATCAAAATGCTGAATTGTATAATAACTTGACTGACAGTGTTTTCTTATAATTCTTGTTGTTTTTCAGAAAAATATAAGTAGAATGAAAAATAATATGTCTTCGATTTATAATACAATTCTTTAAATAGACCGTTTTCAGGATATTTTTGTTATCAGTTAGATACAAAATTGTGTCCTGAAACTCGAACCTTCTCTTTAATCAATCATCTACAATGTAGAACATCAGTCAAGAGATTCAGGTTTTCCAAAACTGGGTCCCAAAACACGCCGGAAGACCGACGTCCTAAGTGCTATTACCCTCGTGTGCATCGATAATTATCATAAACATGGCGCAAAGAATAACAAATGAAACCAACTCTGATTTCACGAACTGAAATACCGCCAGAGGCACTGATGTCACAAGTATTATAACTGTCAAATGCCTCGATCAACGTTATAATTATAGCTCATGAACAAAATGGCGCAATGATTCCAGAAAATGAAATGATGCTGCTGAAAAATATAAAAACTGATAGCCAGATCATCAGAGTGCAGTTGGCAATAACCTCAAACAGTCTCTCAGTTAAGATGCATTCAAAGTGTCAAAATCCAAGGATGTGAGCGGTCGTTTATAGTCAAGCATAGTCGATAATATACTATTTAGTGAGATAAACCTCTTTGCTGTCTCAATTCCAAATAAATTCATATTTAGTTTAAATAATTCAATATTTATCGGCTCGTCGCTCTCAGATATAACTGATTTCAACTATGTCATGAATGAACTGAGCAAACAGTTTGAAACCCATTTGTTATTGTTTGCATCATCAGATTCTGGCGATCATTCAAATAGAAAGTAAGCCTTTCAGTTTGATGTTATACACCTCGATTAACTGATTGAACCAACACTACAACATACCTATTTCATTAGTGAATCTATCAGATATTGTCAGTAATGGAAGTAATATTAACTACATTAATGAAAGTCAAATCTTTTTGCAATTGGACCAATTTTGAAATTATAAAATATTTCCTTGATATTTTCTTAAAATAGAACACCTGACCACTGAGGAAAATGGCATATGACCTCAGTACGTCTGTAGAGTATACCTCCAAATACTATGTTCGAACATTTCAGGAATCTCTACGATTTTCAATTGCTGTTTTCAAACTATCACAGCATTTTTTGTCAAAAAAACTATGCATTTATATTATGTCACTACTATGTCCAAGTTATCTCCACATTCGAATTGAATGCATGCGTGTGTGATCTTGACTATTGTTTCAGAAGATCTATCGATAGAAAAATGTATTTCATCATATTTTTGGATAATATATGTTTAAAATCTTACATCTTCTTTATTCTCCAAATTTCTGTGGAAAACAAATTCGAATACAAACAATCTACTCACCTGGGCGATATTTTGGATGAAGAAGACTCTATGGCATTGGAGTTGTTGGCTTTGAAGCCGCATTTCTGTATCTTTCGGCTCAACCTTGATACCCATTGCTTTTGCTCATCATGTGAGGAAGCCAGTAACAGCAATTCTTTGGCGTAAGAAGGATCATAGTGCAATTTACATGGTGGGACGGTGTCCTCTTTTCTCTCTAAGTGATCTTTGTGTACTTTTATCCTACATCCTGAAAAAAACAACATAAAACCATACAATAGTTGTTAGGTTACTTGACAAAGATGTTTGTAAATACTGTCTGTAGGTTAATCGAGGAGGTGGTACATTAATTTTCATGTTTAAAATGTTGCATCATGAACAGCAAAATTGTTTTGTGCTTATAATTAACTCAAGACCTATTTTCAACCATTATCTTTAAGATGAATACGATTCAATCTGATTTCTCAATAAGCCCAAAAAGTTGATCAAACCCAAGTCTGCATAACCATGATCGTGAAACCAACCTCTTACTATGATATATTTTCTCTATTAATGTGAATATTACGTGTGGTTAAGTCTCAACATACTTCAAGTTTTTCTATTTGTTCACTTAGGCCACACCAATTATTCAAGAAATTTTTGAAAATCCGACATGTTGGGACATTTGCTTTTGACTTTGCCATAGACCTCACGCTCTAGTAATGACAACTGGTGAGACTGAAAATATTAGCCCTGATAACACCACTGTTATATTTTTGAAATAACTTTGAATTGGTTAATCAAAATCCTACCGATGGACAAGTCACGAGAACAAAATCACTTAGTACAGCATCCGACTGCAAGATTACAAAACACATATTCATGAACAGGAGATATTTTCACCAGGTTGCCTACCGAAATGTGGCAGCAAGTATTTTTAATTAAAATAATATTAATTGATCATTAGACGATCACGTTGTTTTGAAGTGCATACACATCATTGTTTTTATTGTTATTGATGTAAATAGTTCAGTCCATAAACGGGTTGTAGAGGAAAGAAAGAGGACCGTTTTTTTGATACTAGGGATATGTTCGGAGTAGATAGATAGTGAAAATTCCAAAATTCCACGAACTTACAAGGTGAACCAAGTGCAGGAGCGACGTAAAATGTCCTTTTTCTTGATATATAGTTCATTTCTCAAAAACGGTACGTCACAGCAAAAAAAATTGAAATGTTTTGACAAAAATCGAAAGTTGGGCTCATTTTCGGTCAAAGCGGAAATAGGGCAAAGCAAGTAGATATGTCAAAAAATGTCAATTGAATTATAATTCAATACCCCCAAATTTCGTTCTACTATATTCAATAATAAAAAAGTTATATTGGTGAGCCACCTTAGAAAATCAGCCGCTATAGTCTCACATCAAATGGAAGCACCCCTGTGTCTGTAGTAATTTCTGAGTTAGGATTATAAAATTTGCAGGAGCGATAGTTATACCGAAAATATAGACTATAACCAAGTGGAGTCATCTTCAGTGATATACACTGCTCGCCAACAGCCATGGAACACATTTCCGGAAATGATATTAGGAGGAAAGATAGGTTGAAAACAAATAATGTTCACCTCCATTAATTTCTAAAATACGGCTGGAGATGGACTTTTATAAGTTCGAAACATGTCCCGTTGAATAACTACATCATTATTAAAGTTGTGGAGATAACTTTAAGCTTTCCTTCATCCTTTTAAAAATTCCACTCCACTTTGAGCAAACATGGACTTCTACCAGAGATTAAACATAATATGCTTGATACTATAAAATCATATGCTGATAGTTGAGTTCCTTTATTTTAAAGAATATATATCATCAATATTTGACCTTGAATAGAATGATTTCGGAAAACTTTTTCGAATTTTCAATTTCAATTCCTTTCCAATAGCTAAAAGCAGATTACTTACTTACAGGTATGCACTGATGATGACTCAACAGTCGAAAGCGCTCTGCTACGAATATAAATTTGAATAAATTAACTTGCACGAAATTACCACCCTTCTTTGGTACCTGTCTTAATAACTAACGATACTCACTCCTGCACTCGAGCGCCGGCGGCGGCCTGAACATATGCCACATCGGCTTCGGGCACACCTCGCACGTGGTCGGCATGTGATAGGAGATGTGCAGGAACTCGTGCCCCTTGTGCGATACCGCCCCGCCCGCCTGCTTGTCCTCGAGGCTGCGCATCGATTGGCTGAGGTCGGTGGGGTTGGCCGGTTCGTCCGTTTTGCGCGCCTCCCCCTCGCCGGCGTACAGCAGCTGGAAGATGCGCGGGATGTCCTTCGAGTCGGCGCGGATGACGTCACCTTGGGTCACCGAGCGCACGTGGAACACCTTGCTGGAATAGAAAGAGAGATTCGATAGGCTAGAACACTAATTTCGAAAATAAAATTCATTATCTATTATACATTGATCAACATTTGAAGTATAATCATCATATATCACTTGAGAACACTTTCATGACCATGAATGATGGAGAAGCAGCTGCAGCAATATTCTGTGACTTTTCGAAGGCGTTCAATTACGTGAGTCATGAAATACTGTTAGACAAACTGAAGTTTTATGGCTTCAGAAATGTAACATTAAACTGGTTCCACTCATACCTGACAGAAAGGAGTCAATTAGTTAAAATTTGAGAGAACCGCAGGGATCAGTTTTGGGCCTTATTCTCTTTCTTCTATACATAAACGACTTAGCCCCCATTCGTATTCAGGGTAGATTCACCATGTTCGCTGATGACACAACTATTATATGGCGTGGTAGAGATATAAAACACCTGAAGGAAACAATTGCTTTGGATATAACAGAAATTAAGCACTGGTGCGACTCCAATAAACTTTGCTTCAATTTGAATAAAACTAAGTTGATTACATTCAAGTTCAATTATGATGATTTATACTTGGCGGACCATATTATTATGAGTAAACCTAACACAAACTTTTTAGGGTTGATTATAGATAGTAAGCTCAAATTTGATGAACATGTTATTTCTTTGAATAAAAGAATTGCCTCAGGTTGTTTTGCGATAAAAATCGTATCTAAGTAACTGAATACATCCTCATCCAGGATGGTATATTTCTCCTTGATCGAGTCTCTTTTGAGATATGGTATTGTTTTCTGGGGTTCGTGTAGTGAATTCAATTCTGTTTTTTTTTACTACAGAAAAGAGCAATTCGGTACCTGGGTGGGGCACAGTATCGTGATCATTGCAAACCTCTTTTTATTAATCAACAAGTTCTGACACTGATTTGCTTATTTATTTTGGAAACTGCAAGCCTTATTCATGAGAAATATGGTAAGACTCTGAGTGAACGGAACTATCAAACAAGAAATGATGGTTGTATTCCTTTACCAATACCAATACAATTATTATTATGGTGCTGTCATATTATATTTTATGACTACTTTATTACATTTTTTAAACGGATTTCATTAGTAGTACTTTAGTTCTTTTGTGTTGGTGATAAATTATTGATCATCAAAAATATGCTAATATTCTGATATTCTGTTTAATTTTTCATTTTATTTCATTTTATTTTTGTTCTGTGATCTATACCATGTTTGTAATCATAAATTTCATGCTTTGTCGATAAGATCTATATCTTCGACAATAAAATACACTTTTGATTTGATTTGATATCAGAACTAACAAAGAAACTCAGGAGTACCCTTCCAAAATTCAGACTTTTGCGAAATATCGTCAGAAGACATTTGATAATTATGTTTTTTCCACCACTAGCTGTAGAACCTATTATTATTTACTCCTTTTCGAGGCGTAAAGTGTGTTTTTACTACCAAGGTAGTTTTCGTCATTTTATGAACCACTAGTCAATATCCGGAGAGATGGGACTCGGATCAAGTGATTAGAATTGAAGGGAAGTGCATTTATAGTAACAATATAGGCCCATATTTCAGTTTCACAGAACGATAACGATTGAAATATATTGCATGTGGTGAAAAAAATTTAATATACATCATGGTAGTAAAGAATATCATTACCACGAGACCTTATACCCCTCGACTGAAGCCTCGGGATATAATCTTGGTCCCTGGGTAATAATGATTTCCTTTACTACTTTGGTGTATAAATAACTATTATCACACTCTCTTCCAATCTTATCTTAATCAATATTATCGTATGGAATAATTAGATGGGGTGGTATGTATGAAACTCATCTAAAACGTTTATTATGTATTCAAAAATATGTTTTGAAAATAATATTCCGTAAATCATTCGATTATCCATCAGCATCATTATTTTAAAAAAATATTATATTGAATGTTGGGCAATTATTCTCTAAGGCGTCAATAATTTTTATTAAAAAGAATCCGGCAATAACAATGTAAGACATGAAAAACATAAGCTTAGAATTTTAGATAAACATTCTAGTTTCATTGGATCTAGAATTTATAATAAAATACCATCAAAATTAAAACGTCTGAATTTCATAACTATCAAAGAAGAAGTTGAAAGTTGGCTTATAGACAATGCAAAAAAAGTCGATGATCTTTTTTAATCAACTCTGTTTCATAATGAAAACACATTAATTTTATACTTTTATCACTATTTTCATTGTCGGAATCAATAAGCGAACTTAAAACATTTAAAGCGGAAGACATTTTCGAAATGGTGAAAGAATCCAAATACGAGCATGTACTCACCTGAGATCCAAAACGATCACTGTATCTGAATTCAGCTTGTCGCTATCCGAATTATAAAAAATAATCTTCCTGCTGGACACGACGACGTACCGCTTTTTCCAGCAGTGCCTCCGAATGTTCTGCTTGAACGGTATCGACAGCCATCCCTCGAATACGGCGTCGATTTCGTCTCGCTGTTGATGTAGTGGATCGAGGGAGCGAGAAATTTTTGGCAATAGCGGATCTGTTATTCCTAACATCAGTCCACTCGTCGAGAAGAGAAGTGCCACCTTCTTCTTCTTGTGACTTTTGATAATTGACATCTATGGCCATATCACCCTCTGCATTTGTCATATCAAGCTTTTACACCTTTGCACTTAAGCCACTAGATGGCTATGAAGGCTAGATCGTCCTTCTGCCCTTCAGGGCTTCAATTTTTAACGGATAGAAAACTGTTGGTGCCGTTACTGTCGTTAGTCTACACCATATGCCGGAGATGTTACAAAGGATACAGGAACCTCTGAAACTTTCTTCTTTCGGCCATCTGCCGGGTATGTTATGAAGGATACAGGAACTTTCTGCTCACCCTGATGGCCAGAAGCTGGTTCCAGCTGCGATCGTGAATTCTTCTTTGGATCTGTTTACCTTGTTTTTTATTGCTGTTTTCATTACTTTCGACTTCATGGTCTGTTGTAAGAGATTTCATAAAACTTGCTCATTCCTTCCAGAGTATTGTTCTCCACTAAAAATTGGTTCTTTCCTTCCAGTTCTTGTAGAAGACGATTACATTATATTTCAATATCCTTGGTCATCATTACTATGTTGTTACAACCGATTGATGTACACATGGCGAAATATTTCACAACACTTGATACACTTTTCTGAAGTTTCACCTGTCTTTTTACAGTGAAAACACATTGATTTTATACTTTCATCACTTTTTCTCATTGTCGGAATCAATACGCGATCGATCAGTCGGAAACTTAAAAAATTTAAACTGGAAGACATTTTCGAAATGGTGAAAGAATCCGAATACGAGCATGTACTCACCTGAGATCCAAAACGATCACCGGATCCGAATTCAGCTTGTCGCTATCCGAATTATAAAAAATAATCTTCCTGCTGGACACGACGACGTACCGCCTCTTCCAGCCGTGCCTCCGAATGTTCTGCTTGAAGGGTATCGACAGCCATCGCTCGAACACGGCGTCGATCTCTTCGCCAATGCCGTCGTCGGCCGAACTCAGCGACGCCGTCTCGATATTGATGGCCACCAGCTTGAGATGGAGCTGCTCGAGGGCACGAGAAGTTTTTGGCAATATCGGATTTGTTATTCGTTTCCTAACCTCAATCCACTTGCCACGAAGAGAAGTGTCACCTTCATCTGACTTTTGATCATTGACATCTCAGGCTATATCACCCTCTGCACTTGCCATATCAAGCATAGACGTAGGGGTCTATGCACGACTTAGTCGCAAGGCATGATTGTTGAATCAACTTATACACCTTCTCACTTAAGCCACTAGATGGCTATGAAGGCTAGATCGTCCTTCTGCCCCCTCAGGGCTTTGATTTTTAACGGATTGAAAATTGATGGTGCCGTTACTGTCGTTAGTCTGGCTTACACCATCTGCCGGAGATGTTACAAAGGATACAGGAACCTCTGAAACTTTCTTCTTTCGGCCATCTGCCGGGTATGTTATGAAGGATACAGGAACCACAGAAACTTTCTGCTTGCCCTGATGGCCAGCTGCGATCGTAAATTCTTCTTTGGATCTGATTACGTTGTTTTTTATTGATGTTTTCATCACTTTCGACTCCATAGTGTGTTGTAATAGATTCCAAAAAAACTTGCTCAGTTCTTTCAGAGTATTGTTCTCCACTAAAAATTGGTTCTTGTCTTCCAGTTCTTGTAGAAGAGGCTTCCATTATAATATTTCTATATCCTTGGTCATCATTACTATGTTGTTGGTTGAAGTAACAACCGATTGGTGTACACATGTGGCGGTATTTTTGCTGCCGCCTGTTTCAAGCAAAATGGGCGAAAGATTTCACAACACTTGATACACTTTTCTAATGTTTCACCTGTCTTTTTACAGTGAAAACACATTAATTTTATACTTTTATCACTTTTTTCATTGTCGGAATCAGTACGCGATCGATCAGTCGGAAACTTAAAAAATGTTAAGATATTTAAAGGTTTTTAAAAAGGGCGAAAGAATACGAATACGAGCATGTACTCACCTGAGATCCAAAACGATCACCGGATCCGAATTCAGCTTGTCGCTATCGGAATTATAAAAAATAATCTTCCTGCTGGACACGACGACGTACCGCCTCTTCCAGCCGTGCCTCCGGATGTTCTGCTTGAACGGTATCGACAGCCATCCCTCGAACACGGCGTCGATCTCGTCGCCGCCGCCGTCGTCGGCCGAACTCAGCGACGCCGTCTCGCTGTTGACGGCCGCCAGCTTGAGATGGAGCTGCTCGAGGTCGGCGTCCTTGCTGTCGACCTCCATCTGGAGGCGATGCCTAGCGGCCACCTCCTCGTTCAGTTGCGCCTGGAACGGGTCGCATATTTACTAACTATATTACAGTGCAGAACCGACTCTTGCTCTGTGGCTGTCCCGTTTTTTTTAAGGCTTTATTCAAATAGTTCACAATCTGATCTTAATTATTTTCGATTTAGTACATTACTGTTTTCGATGCTTTTTGAAAAATAATTCCAAATCAGCACGTGATGCTGGTCTCGGAACTTCTTAATCCTACACACAGTCATTTCATTGTTACTATCCTAACCTGATCTTCATACACTTATGTTATTGTTAGAGATTCTTTTTGACAACTCAGTTTTAAATATTTTTAAGTTATCGGCTTCCGTCAACGCCACTGGTGAACAATTAAAAGTTTTGATACATTTATTGAGAGGGTTATTTAAAGCGATGTTCGTTCTTGTGGGCTCGATGTATATATTTCTTTGGTTCCTTGTCTCATAGGAATGAATGTTCAATAGGACTTTTCTAGCTAGCTCTGGAAGATTCTTGAGAAATAACGGTGGTATGTCATCAGGGCCAGGGCTCGTATTTTTTAGTGTTTCAATCGCTTCATCAAGTTCAGCCATGGTTATATCTATGTTCAGTTGGAAATTGTTAAATAGTTATTGGGTTGTTATGTTCTTCTATTTGCTTCGTTTGTCTGAAAGTAGAGTTGTAATTTTTGTTACTAGATTGCTTCTTGAAATTATCTGACAGGATATCAGCTATGTGTTTACTATTTGTGATCTTATTACCTTCATGAGTCAACCCATTTATGCCGGTGTATGAGTATTTCCCAGATATTTTGTTCACATTTTGCCAGATCTTTGTCATTGGAGTAGATGTGTTGATATTTGATACATATTGTCTCCACGATTCCTTTTTTCTTTTTTTTTTATAATGTATCTGGATTTGGCTCTGAGTCTTTTGAATGTTAGAAGGTTTTCAGGTGTTTTATGACTTTTATATCTGCTGAAGGCGCTTTAACTATCTTCAATTGCTTTTTGGCATTCTTGGCTCCACCACGGTACCAGGGGGTGTTTTGTTATATGCTTTGTTTTTCCGATGGCTTTTTCAGCTGCACTTATTATTGTGTTGTTGAATTGCTGTAAGAGCTGGTCGATATCTTCACTTGTTGTGTGCCATTGATGAAGATTTTCTTCTATGAGGTTTTTGAATAGTGTCCAGTTTGCAGATTTGATTTTCCACTTGTTCGTCGGTTTGCTGTCGCTGAAGTTACCTGATTTAAAAGTAATTTGGATTGGATGGTGATCACTGATCTCATGATCCCATGAGAGGAGGGGGTACGTTGTTGGGTCGCATAGGTTCAGGTCTAAAGCGGAAGTGCTACCATTATAAGAGTTGAATCTGGTGTGACTTCCATCGTTCATGAGTGTGAGGTCACATTGGTCCATCAAATCAACTATCAGTTTACCTCTTGGGATTGAGTGATCACTTCCCCAAATCGTGTTATGACTGTTGAAGTCTCCTACTATTATTCTTGGGTGAGGTATTTGATTCAATAAGTTATTCAATTCCTGGTAGGTGACGTCTTGGTTGGGTGGAAGGTAGATATTACATTAATATATTAAACTTGAAATTGCCAGAGTTCACTGATACAGCTTCTAAGGGCGTGTTGACAAGTATTTTTCCAGCATCGATAGAGTTTTTCGTAAATATGGTTACTCCCCCACTAGCCCTCAGTGGGTTATCCCTATTTCGAGAAATTTTTGAGATTGTGTTCTTTATCATCAGGGAAATTGGTTTCTTGCAGACAAATTACACTTGGGTTGTATTCGGAAATGATAAGTTGTAACATTTCAAGATGACAATAGTAGCCATTAATGTTCCACTGCAGGATACTTTTTGAATCCACTGTAGGCATTGAAGGATTTTAGAATAAGTCTTGGGATGAGTCACACTCAATTTCAGATATTTGATGGTCAGGTGGTTCAGTATTTTTTTGCGAAGTTTACTGCATCGGGTTTTTATACTCCGCTCGTTGAGTAGTGGGTGAATCATGGACGTATAAAAAAGAAGGACACAGCAACTCTATACTTTCAGCATATAATGTTTTGAAGTCTTAGAGATGTAGGCAAACGGGTTGAGGGGAAGGGAAACGGTAACGATAGACTGTGCTATTTCCTCAAACGGCAGCGGCGTGCGAAAATGAATTATCGTGATAGTAAATTTCGGAATCCAAAATGCAAATAGCGACTAAAAACTGAATACCAATCACTTATGACCGTTTATCAATCCGGGTCGCTATGGGTTATACCAAGTGAACATAACAAATACAGATTTGTGTTTTCACATATTGAATAATAGATTTTATATAACTGTGGTGTGGTGAACTGGTACGCAAAATAGATTATTAAAATAATGAAATTTCGGTACTATTTAAGGAATCATTGAAAGTTTTGTATCTTTTTCCATATGGTACACCAACAAACCAACTATAAAGAGTGTCCCAAAATTGTTGGGACACAGAACTACCACGTGTAATGAGGTCAAAATAAATATATATACACCATGTTATCTATTATTCTCACTTCTTCATCAACCATTTTCTTGACCCCCTGAAGAACAACTTTTTCTCTGATTAATTGATGATCACTCAATCCGATCAGTTTGGGAATCTATTTGATAACGATGCAGATGCAAAATACTGTCAACTATATCCTCATTCATAGTTAACATTTTATGAAAAGGATAAGGATTATTACTAGACAATATGACTGATTATCATTTCATTTTCATTTTTGAAACTATAATACATTATATACTTGCTTCTATATGACATGTAATGCAAATAACACAGAAAAAAAATAAGTAATAAAAAAATATAGAATTATAGGAGCTAGATAACTACAATTTCTATCACATCACAAATGTATAATAATAATGACAGACGCCTGTCAAACCGCAGCGCTAATGAGTCGTCGTTAAAAAAACTTTGATATCCACAAAAAAGTGCATCCTTTTTTATTACGATAAATATCGTTTCCACAATTGTTTCTGATTCGACCGTCCTTATTATTCCCGAGGTTATCCTAATTCAAATTATACGCGTTAATAAACGTTTATAACGTTTTATTTTTCAAGATATTCCATGATTCTTGAACTCAAGAAATATTGATAATAATAATATAAGTTTATTCAAAAACGTTTACAAAATATATACATTGGAACATACAGATATAGGTATTTTGAATAAACTGGAAAAACCCTTACGAAGTGAACCTTGTAGTAAGGATAAGAAACAAATGTACATAGTTCAATGAATATTTAACAATAATTAATTATCACAAGGGAAAAATTGTCTCATTAGGAAATGAGACATCATGTATATAATTCATGTATAGTGTACTGAGCATTTATTTCAATTCGCATAATTATTTATATTTATATATACTTATTCACAATTATTATTTATGTTTCGAATTTTATAATTGAATGTTAATTTTGAGAACCTCACCGTAACATTGCCGTATATTCTTGAATTTCTAGGTATATTGGAGCAGTCTGAAATGATATGAAATAATGATGATATGATATCCCTCTGAAATTATGAAATTTCAAATTTTTACACATGCCAGACCCTCGTAAACATTGCAAATAAGGCATGTCTCTTTCATCTCCTTTCATAAATGGTAATTCCTATAAATTCTGAGAGCGGCGCCACTCTCTATGGACATAAATTGTTGCCATGCAAGGGTTTCGTAGTCCCTAACTTTTTATGTTCATTTTTCATTTCGAGTGGATGAAGAAATCAGTACATATTTGTGAAGATCTAATCTATGTTCCTGCCGTCTCACTTTTTCGAAATTTGATTCAGTTTTTTCTAAAAAAAATCGCAAAATAACGTGTTTTTTGATGATTTTCAAAATTTTTTTTCTCATGAACCCAATTAAATTTCGAAAAAGTAAGACGGCAGGAACATTTATAAGATCTTCATGAATATGTAAAAATTTTTTCATTCACTCGAAATGAGAAATGACCGTGAAAAGTTAGGGACTACGAAACCCTTGCACGAGAACTTGCATTATTGCTTTATATCATAGTACAACTGCTTCCTCTTAACAGAAAAGCATTGAAGAGGAATGTTCTCAGATAAATAATGAACGTAAAAAAATGGATATATACATATATGAAGAAATACATCGAGACTTCGCATTCTCTATCTGATGAAAATATCAATTGTTACGCCTATGAAACTCTAATCCAAACATGTAAACAAATAGTACTTACGAATGGAAGGTGAAATTTGGGTATTAAAACTTTGTTTTTTCGCAAATCCAGCAGTGTAACACCATTATTAGTCTCTGTCTATCAACTTTTCACAAAAGAAATAAGAAAATTCACTCAAAAACAACGAAAACAATAAACTTCCTCGAACACATTAACATAAACGAACAACGCCGAACTCGCCGAAAGCACGAAACATCACGAAACGAGCCTGTTTTGCAGCGGCGTTGTCGGTTGTGTATAATCTCGGTAACCTTCACAGAATAACTTTGAAATAATGTATAACGACAGTTTTATAATATTTGATTGTGACTATCTTTGGACGTATGATTTATTCCTTGAGTTCTATGAATCGGATCATAATGAACATCTAATTGAATAGATGATTACAAAAGAGGTGAGTAAAAATACTTGAGAGGATTAGACTGAGGTTAGGAATTATTAGCGACAGGACGTGACAACCTCCAATTCAACATCAGGTGATATGCTGTGACCGTATTCTCTGACTTCACATTACGATGTAAATAAATGGGTCCTTCTTTGTTTATACGTCCATGGGGTGAATTTTTTCCAGCATACCGCATAAAGCATGTAGGTCTTTGGTTTAATTGAGTGCAATTTGTACAGGTTCTGATGAGCCGTAGGTATTTTCGAATAAGTCAACTGTTTGTTGGTAGTTAAGTATGAATGGAGGGGAATGAGTTTCGATGAATGTTTTGGCTGGAGCTGTCATTTTTTCAGATGAAATGGATGTATGTGAATCTTCGAAAGTGGCGTGTTTTGGCTTTTTTGTTTTCTTTTTTTCTGCAGGTAGAGCAAATATTTCTTCAGATCTGGGTTCTTGATTTTGGCTCGTATCTATGGGTGGGGTTAATTTTTCAGATATGTTCCGTTTGTTTGCTATCCCTTGAATCGATGTTTCTATAGTGGCAGTTGTTGTGACGCATGTGCAGACGGCTTCGCTAGATTCGAAAGATGGTTCTGGGTTTTCTTGTTCTGTCGTGTTTGATTGAGAAATATTATTGCCTTCATTGATGGTATTATCGTTTGTTGGATTATTAAAGGTATTCGGAGTGTTTGGGGAATTACATTGGTTAGCTATATGTCCAGGCTGTTTACATTTGAGACAAAGTGTTCCTACTTGGGAAAATTCGGTAGGAAGTGTTTTCAAATGTGATGGAGATGGAGTCAGGGATCATTATGTTATCTGGAGGAGAGATGTAGACCTGTCTTCGGAAGCTCAGCACATGACTATATTCTGGGTTTGTAGCTCCTATTCTGAGGAATGTTATTGCAGACATAAGTTTGAGTCCGAGTTGCTGTAATTCATTCTCGAGTATGTAATGTGGTATTGTTGGGCATACATTCGACATGAGCGAGTTGATGGGGTAATCAGGCGTCTGGCTTGGAGTGTTTGGTTTTCGATAGTAATGGAACCATGTTGGTCCATAAAAGAGTCCCCTATATCTGTGCTGGAGAGATGTATACATATTCTATTGCTTGTTATTCTAGATGAGAACAGTATATTTTTTGGGTTCACTTTTGATCCTAGTCCGAAAATATATTCCTGTAATTTGACGCCTTCGATGGAGTTGAAAACAATATCCTGATTATTGGATAGAAATTGGTGCTTAAAGAGTGCTGCAGAGTATGATTTTGCTTGTTGGGTTGTAGTTGTTTGATGTGGTGTTGGTGGGTTAACTGCCTCATTTAGTGTACCCCTGTAGTCAGGAGCCACAGTTGGGTTGTCGCCCATATTCAAAGTTTATGAGTCGGTTTCGCTCGACACATATTCTGAATACGGGCCTGACCTCGAAGGCCTTTTTCCGTGTGGATGATTCCCGCGGGTTTTTGACTACTTGTTTTTCTGCTCGTTCGTACGTTTATCGTTCACTCGATTGAGATATTTCATGCATATACCTAGTATCTACTAGTAGGTAACTACTCACGAAAATTTTGTTCGTAATATGGTGACACTGGGTATCAATCAGTACGTGGGCACTACTGCACTATTGGGAAAATTTGGTTCTCTATATTCAATAATATTTAGATAAACTGTGGCAGCTGATTATTGGCACGTTTATAGTACCGCTAACAGAGCCGGACTCTTTTTTATAATATTGTTATATGTAATACATAACTTTCCTGTTTTCATTGCCACTTTATATTATTTATGTAGTATATTTCAGAGAATAAAAAATGGAATGAAATCAAAAGTTTCTGAGTGAATTACACAGTAATATCAAAAATTGTAGAAATTGTGATTATAGTATATTAGTATCTAAGATCTCTCATGAAATCTCGATAAAGCAATTGGCCAGAGAGTATTGGATCCCCTGATTTTTTAGTACTTACCTACGGTAGTGACTTCCTCGATATTTCCTTCGAGCTATTCATTCATTGTTTGACCCTCATGAAATTTCTATAGAATTGATTTGACCATATTTCAATAATTTGCCATTTGTTTTTATTTTATTCTGCTCGAAAGATATGACTTGTTGGGTATAAGCACTGAATATCAAACAAAGGGGGCCAAAATAATAGATTATATTTATTAAAATTCACATCATTTTTGTTCAAGGAATATTCCTCCTTTCCACGGACACTCTGTATAACCACATATCCAACTGAGGCTACAAGACTTCATGATTCATAAATCACATTAAAAATTGAATTCTGCCATGCCAGGGATTCGATTTCACGATCCTTGGTTTGTGAAACGAGCGTATACCCACGGCGCTAGTCCCTCCTCTTTGAGCAACAAGTTAACGTTGCTCAAAGAGGAGGGACTACATGGTTTATTGTAAATGATGTCTTTATTTCCACTGTATTTCGGTTTCATATAAACTTGTAACTTGCTCAATTTTTGAAAAACAGTTTGTTGAAGTTCTTATAAGTTGTCTTTTCCAATGATCACAGTGCATAAGATTTCAAAATGACAAAATTTGATCTAACCACGGTAACTGGCAAATTCTAAAAATTTCAAGGCAAGCATCTCGTCAATAGCACACCAAGTTTTATCAAAATCGTGGAAAAGACTAGGATAGGTTAGGTTCCATGTGAGTGGGGCGAATACCGCCCCTCCACTGCGATCCCAGATGGTCTAACAAGTGATAAGGACTAAAATTCCATAACTACCATAAATGACATCATTCAAAATGCAAGGTACATCTAAACAAAAAATTTACCTCAACCTTAAAATAAAACATGAACTTTCAAAACAAACTGACCAGATAAAATATCTTGGCATTTGGTTTGATGACAGGTTGAAGTGGGAAAACATATTGATGTTCTGACAAAAAAAATATCTCCAATTATTGGTGCACTGAGAAGATGTCCCAAACTTGTTATTAAAATTGCAAACATGATTATCTACTCTCATATACTGAGTCGTATCAACTATTTAATGAATGTTTGGGGATCTTGATCAAAAAATAATTTCAATAAAATACCAACATTATATATAAAATCGTTAAAAGTATTGTATCGTCTCCCATTTGATACACCAACCAATCAATTGTATGAAATAACAAATACGTATTCTTCAGATGAAATATATAGAATTGGAACTCTTAAAATATCATATAATATCATAAATAAAAAATTGAAGTCGAATATTATTTTGATACGGAATTCTGAAATTCATAATCATGAAACTAGACAATATAACTTGTTTCATCTTGACGCCGCTAGCTCCATAATCGGACAAAAAAGATTCACTCAATCAGCCTTAACTGAATTCAATAAACTACCTGGCAATATAAAAAATTGCAGAAATATAGGTACATTCAAAAATGAAGTAAAAAAACTGATTATTTCTGAGCGAACTGGATAAAATGAATCATGCAATTTTTTTGAATATTATTCTTTGTTTGCTAATTTACAGTTGTTGATATATTTTGAATGATGATGTTTACCTATAGGTATATAATTATGTACTTCCTTATATCAGAGCATATTCTGTCTGGAAGTTATTTGTTCAATGAACAAATAAATAAATAATCTACTTGACACAAACTTACATTCACTTCCTGAATATTCTTCTGATAAGTAGCGATCATCTGGTTGTATTTCTCTTTCTCGAGGCTCAACTCTTGTTGCAACTTCTTCAAATCCTTTTCCTTCCTCCTCAGATCATTACTGGACACTTTCGATCTGCCTTTCCCAGTCTCTCTTAAGTCCTTTCTGTTCATGATTTCATGCAATTTGTTGACGGCTTGCTGTTTGAGGAGACTTTCTGTATTCAATTTTATCACCTGAAAATGAATAGGAATTAATACATATAATTCAAATTCTTAGAAAAACTATTTCTGTTCTATAACAGTGTGTGTGGCTTACTTTCGAGGAGTCTACGAATTATCCCCAAAAATATACAGGGTGTTTTCAGATCAAAATAAAACTTTTTTCACATATCCAAATAGTGAATAGGGAAAATCAAGACAAGTTGATGCATTCATATGAAAAATTTTGTTGGCCATCCATAACCAAGATCGTAATTTGCTGAAATTTGACAGCCAAATTTCTCCATTGAAACTATCATTGTTACATCAAAAAAGTTCACTTTGTGATAATTTTTCTCGAAATATTTCATCAGATTCAGAAAGATCATACAAAACGCCATAAAAACTGCTCTACAATTTGCAGGGCACACTTTGACCAAGTTAATGAAAAAATATGAACAAAAACGTTCGATTGAATTTTCAAGTTTTACCTGGCTGATAACTCCAATCATTTATCATGAGTCGTGACTCAATTCAATTTTTTTTTCAAAGTAGGCCCTGCTCTTTATTTCATTATGCGACGTGGCGTTTGTTGATAATCACTGGTAATCAAAATTTTATGAACTGCTTAACATAACGAAAATTCAAATGCTGCAATGTTTAATACCATAGAAGATTTCCAAACCCAAGAACACGTAGCAATAAATTCTTCATGTGGGTGAACATTAGGAATATTGAAGAAATTGCAAATGCATTCTTATCACTTGCAGAAGTGTATAAAGATCAGTTTACTGGTGATGGCATGACTAATTTAATGATAGGGGCACATGAAAATCATCATGCTGTCATTTTACCAGTTGGTACCAATCAGTTCCGGCCCACCTACCACCAATTTCAGTAGTGGCTCGAGAATGAGCTGTCACCTCAAGAGTAAGGGTGATAACATGTAGGAGACACAATGTGTACAAAATAGGATTCACCAGCACCAGAGGTTCGACTGGACCACTGCACCAAGGATTGTGGGGATGACAAATGTGGATGCCAGAAAGCAATGCTGAACTGTTGTGCGGCGTGCCTCTACTGCCAAGGGAAATGCCTCAACGGCGTGCCTGTTGATGAGGATAAAGATGAAGAACTATCAAACACTGAGGATGAGGATGCCATGAATGAAGAACCCTTGCCAGAACTCTCACGGCTAAAGAGGATGACATGAATCCAGAAAAAGTGGAGTGTTTGAAATTCTCAAGGTATTTTGAGCTGTCACCTTAAGAGTGAGGATGAAAACATGTAGAAAACATTGTGGGGATGGCAAATGTGGATGCCAGAAAGCAATGCTGAACTGTTCTGCGGCATGCCTCTACTGCCAAGGGAAATGCCTCAACGGCGTGCCTGTTGATGAGGATAAAGATGAAGGAATATCCAACACTGAGGATGAGGATGCCGTGAATGAAGAACCCTTGCCAGGACTCTCATGGTTAAAGAGGATGAAATGAATCCAGAGAAAGAGGAGTGTTTGAAATCATCGAGATATTTAGAGTGAGAACAATGAGAATACAATGACTTAGATGATATGTGACATTCCTAAAAATATTTTTTGTATTTCTCCAGGAACATTCTTTTCTTCTTCTGCGTGAAATAACCTGCTTTCAAGTGTGGCAACAATAGTGTAAAGAGATGTAAACCATCTATAGTTTTGGGCTCAGGAATGTTAAAAACAGCTTTTTTCTAAAAATTACAAAAATTTACGGAAAATCATGAAATTGGTGTAGCTGTGTACTAGTTGAAGACAAATTCGTATATGTACAGTCGTATTCAAAAAAAGAAAGCGTACAAGTATATTGGAGGGAGAAATTAACGCCATCCTATTTGCGTAAAACGGGCTATCGGGACTGAATGTTAACCAAATGTTGACAGTAGAGTAATCATAGGTTCTCAAAAACACAAAGCATTGGCTGAACCAATTTTACACAACGAGAACTAGAATGCCGAAATCTTCTATGTTGAATACTTGTACGCTTTTTTATTGAATACGACTGTACATCTTGAAGGAATCAAATAGTTTAGACGATATAAGTCTGTGAGGTGATCATCTTTTATTCAAACATTTCTACTTTCAGGAGCATGGAGCTTGAAAATGGTCAAGAATTCAAAAAAGTGTATGAAGAGAAGTTATAGGAAATTTTATTACCCCTCATTTGATAGGCACTGAAACATATTTTTCGAAGAGGAACCGTTTTCGACATATAAGCCACAAACCCCAAAAGCAGAACCTTCTTACTGCCCCCTCCCTCAGACTTACCTCCTAGACGTCAGGAGTTTTAATAGGTTCACTCCCTGAGCAACCTAAATGAGTTTCCAATAGAATCGCTTAGGTCACTGCTCAGACACTCTACCCCTACTTTATTGAGTGGACTAGATTATTTGGCCGATTAACAAAATAGCCTTTGAATCAAGCAAAACTCAACACCAAATGAAAGGTTTCCATGAAATGTAATTATTTGACAGCATTCGCGCTCGCGATAAAAAATAATGGAAAATTACTAGCATCGCTTTATTTGTGAAATAGTTGTTTAATGCCTCACCAACAAATGATTAGATATTTACAGGCGTTGCGATATTTTGCGAAGTTGTAACATTTTGTCACTCAGTAAACCAGAAGTAGAGGTCTGCGTTCGACTTTTTCGCGAGGTATATAAATTGGGGATATAATGTTGGGGGGCACCATTCGAAAAATAACATCTGATTCAAGATTTTGTTTTGAAGTTTTCAATAACCTAATTACTTCAACAAAATATCGCATATTGGCAGCATGAAATATATAGGCAATCACCCTGTACGCACTCAAAAGAAGAAATTAAATCTGAGGATCAAAATACTGTAGTAATTCTGACGACACCTCCGTATACATTTTTGTGCAAAATGCACAATCATTACATTTCTCATTAATTAGAAACATGTATTTTACATTAAAACAAAATATTGGCTACCAGTTGGGATCGAGGAGGATGATGCAAGGGAAACTATTATATGAAAATTATTTGTGGTGACAATTACCATTTTTTCATAATCTTCATTATTACTGATTTTTCTACTGAACTCATCCTGAATTGTATTCAGTTGCCTAATCAGATCATCTTTATCCTTCTGCATCTGTTCATTCGATTTCTTCAACTCTGATTCTCTGTCTTTCAAATTATTTATCACCAGTTCTTTACTATTCACTTCGCTCCTATGTTTAGCCAACAAATCCTTAAGTTCCAATTCCTTCATCGTTTTTTCCTTCTCCAAATCGGCCACCGTTTCTTCGGCAATAGACCTAGCCAAGGCTTCCGAATCGGCTCTGGCTAGAGCCAACTGGCACTGGTGTTTGAGAGAAGCCCTTTCCTCCTCGAATTCCTTATTGATCCTGTTCTTCTCGTCTATTTCCTCTTTCATTTCGGTCGTCTGAGTTTTATATAATGTTGTGAAATACTGTTCGGTTTCTAAGTTTTCCTGGAGCTCTTTCATTTGAAGTTGATCTCTCTGCCAATTGCTTCTCACCCTCAAGAGTTCTTCTTCTATAGTTTTCTTGATGTCCTGGAACAAACAAGTTTTCAGGGGAATGTCATTTGCAAATCTGATCGACGTATGCAGCAAATAACAGATGGGTTGAGCCGAGGCCGTGTGTCGTTCAAGACTTTTCGTAATCCCGCTGAAAGATTATATTTTGATTCCGAGGAAAGAACAAGTCATGTACCTCGTGATTCTACAGAAAAATCCCAACATCGTGTTAAACAATCTGAACAGATGGATGCTGTTAACATCGTCAACTTTTCAATTGTCAACTGAATACCATTAAATAAAAATAACAGTATAGGATTACGAGAAGATTATTTCCTGACGTGTCAGCCGAGGATGTAAGGTCTTGTTGTAAGAGTATATCAAATTGAATTTACTATTAACCACTTGTTTTATTATTTGATTTGAAACTCAAGAGGTACAGCGCTGATTTGAGGTATTCACTTCAACTTTTATTGAGAGTCTATTGATAGGATTGACACTACTGACAGATGTCAGTTCCAGTATTAACAAAGGTAAAAAATGACAAATTGTGGAAAGCGGTAGGGAAGAACAAAATGACGCAGTTTTACTCCAGGAACAGAGAATAATAGTGATATTATTTCCGGACTAAAGGTTATTCTTGAATCATTGTTGTTCAATGAAACAGGAACTTTCATTACTAATTCTTGTTTTATCTGACTCCAATTCACCAAACAAAAATTACTTCGATGAGATAAACATCTCAAGAATGGGGTATTAAACTGATTATCTTATTCTTTCTCTATTAATCTCCACACTAATGCTTTTATCCTTTAAAAAAAAAATCTGGATGGTTTTGAGGTCTCAAAATCACAAATAAAGTCAGTCTCTCAAACGGTCGAAACTACTGACATCACGACTCAGTGAGTGAGGCACATAGTTGCCAGATGTCAAAGTAGAACTTTTCCACACGCTAGTAGAAAAAAAGTTTATTGATCAGAGGAATGGAAAAATCATCGTTGAGGCAATTCAATCGATAATATTCAGTTCAGAATCATTACCTGAAGTATTCAGAGGAATAGTGAACAATCTGTGGAAGAAAGCATTAAAATAGGTAAATTAAGGAATGAAGCATGGACAGAGTGGTAGGGTATTATGATAGCTGTTGTATGTTGTCTGAAGATTGAAAATTTCAATTCATCACATCTATGAATTACTACATATCATTGACATGAGTGTATGCCAATATTGGCATATTTCAGATTAGCAGTGAATAAAATATTTTTTCCGCCACTAGCTAGGCATAAAGTGTGTTTTCACTACCAAAACAGTTTTCGCCACCATATGAACTACTACAACTTTTCCAGATATATTTCAGAAAGCGTCAATTCAATTTCAGAAAGCGTCAATTGTATTTCAGAATAGTCAATTGTATTTCAGAAAGCGTCAATTGTAATTCAGAATAGTCAATTTGATTTCAGAAAGCGTCAATTGTAATTCAGAATAGTCAATTCAATTTCAGAAAGCATCAATTGTATTTCAGAATAGTCAATTCAATTTCAGATAGGGTCAATCGAATTTCAGAATAGTCACTTGTATTTCAGAAAGCGTCAATTGTATTTCAGAATAGTCAATTGAATTTCATAAAGCGTCATTTGTATTACAGAAAATATCATTAGAATTTCAGAAAGCGTCAATTGAATTTCAGAAAGCATTAAGATCGATTAGTTGGTAGAAAGTGCATCCCATGTAAGAATGCATAGGATGTTCAGTATTTCCTGTAGTGATGTTTTCAATTTAATCACCCCAAATTCCTCTTTTAGGTACCTTTAGGTACCTATATACTATTTGACGAACAGATTACAAAATTTCAGGTATAGGGGACCATCAGAGATAAAATTATTTCTATTGCTATGATACTTTCACGATTTTTAAAGTTGTTTGGCAGGAGAACACCCCGTGGAAAGTGTCTGGCAATTGTATATTCTCTTTCATGATAGGGTCCGATGGAACATAAAAAGATCAGCTTTTGTTGAAATGATGTTTTTGACAGTTTTTTTTTTGTTCTTTCAACACCCGGTATGTCTTGAAAGTAAATCCGGTACTGAAGATTTTTAACCCCCATAACGATTCCACCGAATAAGGTATAACACTCATAAAAAATATCGACCTTGTTGAAATGACGTCTGGTGGTCGCTGGCTTTCAGTCTATATAGAATGATTACTGAAATTCAATTGACTATTCTGAAATACAATTGATGCTTTCTGAAATACAAGTGACTATTCTGAAATACGTTTGATGCTTTCTGAAATCACAGGAATTATCAATAATGACTAGTCATATGCTGTCATGGCCATGACTACTAGATTTTAGATAGAATTGAAAAGAGGTGCTTTCATGGTGACATAGGTCCATATTTCTTTCACAGAATAATGGTTTAGTAGTGAAAAAATTTTAATATACAACAAGGTAGTAAATAATATCATTAAAACCTAGAGACTGAGATTATATCCCGAGGCTTCAGAAGAGGTTATAAGGTTCCGTGGTAATAATATTCTTCACTAGTATTCTATTTACGAAATAGAGGCTGCTCACCTGCAAATGAGATAACTCCAGCGCAAGTTGAGATTCCTTCGCCCTAGATTTCGCCAATTCGGCCGCTTCGTGGGTCATTTCCGATTGCAGTATCGTCTTCTTCTGTTGCTCCTGCTCCAGTTGACTGTGCAACGCTTTGACTTTCTCCACTTCCTGTCGATACTCCCCCTCCAATTTTTGCAGCCTCTGTTGGATCTGCCGATAATCGACGTTCAGCATCGAAATTTGCCGCTCTTTTTCCTGGTAGCTGAGGTCGGCTTTTTGTCGAGCGTTTTTTTCATCATTGAGTTTACTCTGTAACGCTGATAAAAAAAGGTTTGTATCTAGCGATTTGGTTATTCAGAGCTATAAGAATTACCATTTATGATCCTATCCATGAGCTCTGCACGGAAATGAACAAGATTGTTAGTTACCACATTCACTCAGATTCGATTTGAGAATAACTGTATGGAAATTTTATTGAAATTCATAATATATTTTTGAGCTTGATGGCACTATATTAGAACAAAACTAATCAAATTATGTGTTGATATGATATCTCAATCATCTTTTAAACCTCGCCTTTAAGCAAATGGAAATTTCTTCTTGAGAATCATGTAGGTTTTCTATTTTCATTTGTGTACACGTTGACATTGTTATTCCATGACGGCATTGTATTGTATTGTAGTATAACTGGACTTAACATATTCTCTGTTGATCTAATAACTGAATTATGTTTTTAAACATATATCGAATCCCATTGGTAGGAACTGATGGACTGCACCCAATGTATATGTTTCGTTTTTCATGGTCTCTGTTAAACAAACTAAAATATACACTCAGTGGATAAACACTCCACCAGTTCCTGCCAATGGAATTCGCTATTACCTTTCAACAAATGGAACTTTCTTGTCGAGAATCATACAGATTTTCTACTTTCATCCATGTTTCATTTACAGTGCATCTCATTTTGGTTGAGACCTTAGATCAACAAGTGAGGTACGTAGTTTTTGAAAGGTATCAGATTAGAATAGATGTAGTTTTCATTAGGTATTAGATTAGTATAGGGGACAGATAATTTATACAACGCTATAAAAGCAGATGATATTTTATCATTGCTAATGTAAGATGGAAGTAGAGGCCATGGCACCATATCATGAGCATATTTTTCACTACTATCATTGGGCACCAAAGATGTGTATACGACGCTATGAAAGTTCAGAGAACTGGAGATTTTTCCCACAAACTACGTACTTAGCCCACTCGACTGTCTTGGTTTTTCCACACAAACTATGTACCTAGCCCACTCGACTGCCAATAGGGACTGAAAAAACAAAAACAAAAAAAAATTGAAACTTTGCCAACATATTTCTTCTTTGTGGGAAATCAAGACAGTCGAGTGAGCTAGGTACGTAGTTTATGGGCAAAAAATTAAGACAGTCGAGTGAGCTAGGTACCTAGTTTATTGGCGAAAAATAAAGACAGTCGAGTGAGCTAGGTAAGTAGTTTATGGGAAAAAATCAAGACAGTCGAGTGTGCTTTTTTTACTTTCTTTTGTTTTTTATTTCGTTTTCTATTAATCATTCCAGAATTACGTCATTTGACAGGTTGCTGAGGGGCAAACATTGTGTTTTGTCAAGATTTGTCATATGAAACCAGAATTGGTGGGATCGTTTTCCTTGGAATCCGAGTTGGAACCAGAAAGAATTGCATAATTTTGTTTGGTGAGACTGTTATTATATTGTGGATGTGGCAGGGACGGCCAGAGCAATGCTCATCAGAGGTAACCTAACAGATAGTTTGTGTGCCCCTCAAGAAACCATGTCAAAATCACGTGTTCTAGAATGATCAATTGGCAAGTGATTATCTAGGAACTTGTAAATTTTTTAGCTTTTTCATCGTATCTCCCGAACTATTGAATTCAGAGAAAAATGTTATTAGGATTTTTTGTAGATTCTATAGAGATATAGAATACATAACCTCAAAACCCATCGGTGTGGTGTAGCGATATTATATTACAGACACAGGGTTACAGCAAAATCGCTATATTGGATTTTTGAATTATTTTTTGATAACGTCACACAAGGGCGAATAGCATGCCAACTCAGGATTATCAAATAGGCCTGTTCGTTTGTGTTTACTACACCTGCTAAGCTTGCATTTTTTCTCTGACCATCTCTGTTAATGTAGTGTGATAATCAGAAATAAGCATATAAAGTCTTCTGCAGTTGAACAATACTAACGAAAAAACCTTATTATTCAAATAAATGACAGATGCTAACCCAACATTAGAGTTATAGTTACCACTTTCAAAATGTTAGCAATTTCATTATATTTTCATTACAGGGTGATATTTTGCACTAGTTGCCGAATTTCTGAATAGTGATACATTCAAACGGAAACGGCAACTCCGTATTTGCGCCTGGTAAACTGACAGAAGCGTTGATCAAGATCCCTCAGAACAGCTAAATAGACTATACGAAGAAATTTCAACAAAATATATGGAGTAAACGACCTCAAAGATGAGCTGAATATCGTAGACTTGACAATTATAATATATACCATGGTATCAAGTCGAGATTATAAAATCTCATCTTGTGACGAAATGAATTCCAATAAAACTATTGAGATTCTGAAGGTTGAAATTTCATGAATCTGTACACAAATAAATAGAGACAACCTGTATATATGCAGTGCCACAAATAAGGTCCTTAAGTAACATGTTCGAAATATTCTCGATATTTCTATCATCATCGGAACTGACTTTCTAATAAAAATGTTAATGAATCATTATTATTTCATTATATGGCTGTATTGGATGGATGACCATAAATCAAAAAATCTAAATAACTAACCTTTAACCACTTCTAAATTGGCTTCCTCTTTGTTCAACACCCTGCTTTTTTCCGTCTCCTCGTGAGCTTTCACTTCTTGATGGTACCTATTTTTCACAGCCTTCAATTCCAAGTCGAGACTAGCACATTCTTTTTCTAAGGAAGATATCTTCTCGGTCAACTGTGTGTTGTCGGCAGACGTCTTCATTTCCTTCTGCCGCACTCTGTCCATTTCAGCAGTCAGACACTGGTACTTGTTTTCTAGCACTAGTTGCTGATCAAAAGCCTAGAAGAAGAAACAAACATTCAGTCAGAAGCCCGCGGCAAAATCATCGGATGGGGCACTCAATAAATTATAATGTTTACGTAAAACGGATCAACCAATTTGTTGTTTACTTTTAATAAATTAAAATTACTATGTAAAATACGTACAAACGGTTTTGAGTATATTTAATAATTGTGTGCATATGACGTTGTTTTTCTAGTAATTTTCAATTCCACAAAGAGCATATTGGAATTTATTTATTTATTTATTTATTTATTTATTTATTGAACAAATAACTTCCAGACAGAATAGGCTCTGGTATAAGGAAGTACATAATTATATACCTATAGGTAAACATAGCATCATTCAAAATATATCAACAACTGTAAATTGGCAAACAAAGAATAATATTTGTAAAAAAAAAAAGAAAAAAAAAGAAAAATGGCATGATTAATTTTATCCAGTCCGCTCAGAAATAATCAGTTTTTTTACTTCATTTTTGAATATACCTATATTTCTGCAATTTTTTATATTATCAGGTATTTTATTGAATTCAGTTAAGGCTGAATGAGTGAATCTTTTTTGTCTGATTAGGGAGCTAGCGGCGTCAAGATGGAACAAGTTATATTGTCTAGTTTCATGATTATGAATTTCAGAATTCCGTATCAAAATAATATTCGACTTCAATTTTTTATTTATGATATTATATGATATTTTGAGAGTTTCAATTCTATATATTTCATCTAAAGAATACGTATTTGTTATTTCATACAATTGATTGGTTGGTGTATCAAATGGGAGACGATACAATACTTTTAACGATTTTCTATATAATGTTGATATTTTATTGAAATTATTTTTTGAACAAGATCCCCAAACATTTATTAAATAGTTGATACGACTCAGTATATGAGAGTAGAGAATCATGTTTGCAATTTTAATATCAAGTTTGGGACATCTTCTCAATGCACCAATAATTGGAGATATTTTTTTTGTCAGAACATCAATATGTTTGTCCCACTTCAACCTGTCATCAAACCAAATACCAAGATATTTCATCTGGTCAGTTTGTTTCAAGAGTTCATTTTTTATTTTAAGGTTGAGGTGAATTTTTTGTTTATTTTTTTGGTGAAAAATCATATATTCTGTTTTGTTAGTATTTATCGATAAAAGGTTAGATTGGAGCCATTTTTCAAATATTTTCAAGTCTTCATTTATCATATTTTCTAAATCTGAAGGATTCTTGCCTTCATATAAAAGTACTGTATCATCTGCATACATGGTATATTCACACGCTAGACCAATTTCACTGATATTTTGAACATAAAGTAAATATAGTATACGTCCTAAAACAGAGCCTTGTGGGACACCCTTATTGATTAATAGTTTATTTGACACAGAGTTGTTTGATTTTGTATTGATTGTCCTATTTTCAAGATATGAATTCAAAATATTTCTCACAGTGCCTCTGAGTCCCATTGTTTCTAAGTTTTCTAAAAGTGTTTTATGATCAACTGTGTCAAAAGCCTTTTTGAGATCAATGAAAACAGCTACCACATAATTTCCTGAATCAAGTCCTCTCTGGATTGAATCTATCACTTGTAGTACTGCTGCTTGTGTTCCACTGTTTTCTTGAAAACCAAATTGATTAGAATCAAAGCTATATTTTTTGTTGATGAATTCTACAATTCGTATCTTGAGAATTTTTTCAAAAATTTTAGAAAATATGCTTATTAAAGCTATTGGTCTATAGTTAGTTGGATCCTGAGCATTTCCATTTTTGTAAATAGCTCTTACTGATGCATGTTTTACTTCGTGTGGGAAACTTTCTTTCATGAAAGATTCATTGATCAATTTTGATATTGGTGTAGCTAAAATGTGTCTCAATTCAAATATGTCTTTAGTAATCAAACCTTCTGGATCAGGACATGTCTTTTTTAAATCATGAATAATAGAAATGATTTCGCTTTCATCAGTGGGAAACAGAAGCATTGTGGAATCATTATATTGTGGACAGACATTTTGACGTGGAAGATTATTATAATACGATATTATTTCCTTTGCTATATTCTCACCAATACTCGAAAAATGATAATTCATAATTTTGGCTATTTCTAGATCATCATTGACAATGTTACCATTAATTTTTATCGATTCAATATCACTATATCTGTTTGATTTTGTGGAACCTCTCAAACAATAGTTTATCGTATCCCAAAGTTTTCTTTGATTACCTTCAGAATTCTCAAATTTTCTATTTATATGTTGAGCTTTCGCCCTTTTTATCAGAGCATTAACTTTATTCCTCTGTATTTTGTATTCATTGAAAAGCTCTTGATTACCAACATTTTGTTTATGTCAATCAAATTTGGAATTTCTAATTTTTATTTCTTGAATAATTGTGTCATTGATCCAATCGTTATCTTCACGTGATCTCAAATATATCTTTGATGAACATTGTCTTTTAGATTCCACAATAATGTCTATTATGTCCTGAAATACTTCACATTGTGTTTGCATTAATTTTTCAGAAAATACTTGTTTGAATTTAGTATAATCAATTTTGACTATTTCACGTTTTTTAAATTGTTTTAATTGAGTGTTGGATTTTTTTATGGTAGTATACATAATTCTGTGATCAGAAATTGAAGTATTTTCCATAGATATTTTGAAATTGAAATTGTGGCAATTTGTCAATATATGATCCAGAATACTGAAAGAGTCACTCTGATTTCTAGTATAATTGGTTAAATCAATTTCGTTCACAATTCGAAAACCATTGCTTTCTACTAAATTTGTGTAATTCATAACATCATTATTGTTCATCAACAAATTTATATTTATGTCTCCTATTATTATGAGTTTATTATTTTGCTCCATAGTCCCATCTATGTATTGTAAAAAAACATTCATATTGGAATTAGGAGGTCTATATAAAGCAATAATTTTTAATTTAGATTGAAACTGAGAAATCTCTATTTCTATTGTATTGTATTCTTTGTTCACATTTTTATAAATTTTCTGAAAAATTAATCCATCCCATAAGTAAATTGCTATTCCCCCTCCCTGTCTATCATCCCGACAATTATGAATACTTGAGAAATTAGCAATATTGAAATATTCAGTTTCATTAGTTTTCAACCAGGTCTCTGTAAGAACTAATAAATGTGCGTGTTTGTATCGTTTCAATATAACCTCTATTTCATTGATTTTATTAGCTAAACTCCTTATATTCAAGTAGAGTATATTGAAATTGTTCAGCTTTGTGAAATTTACCACATTGATGTTATTCATAGTTTATACGATTTCTAGCTAAAATAATTTTGTTTTTGAAAATAGGACAATTCAATTATTGTCATCATTTTAATTATTGACATTCCTGTTTCAGTCCTTTCTGTTCAGCAAAGTGCTGATGACATCATCTAAATTAAAATTTCTGCCAGTGAATGTTCAATGGATACAATTCCTAAGTTATGTAAAATTTTTTGTCTCATAGAATTCCTCAAATAAGTTCTCATTAATTTTAATTTTGAAGATGATCGATCGACACTAGTCGTTGTCACAGGAACGGTTGAAAACAAGAGGAATGCAGTGCCCACTTCAGGGATGCTTGAAGACATAATACGCTGGCCAGCGTAGCCTCGTGGTTAAAACGTCAATATTCTATCCACGTTGGATTGTCGGTAGGTGGGCTCGATTCCCACCACGACCGCAGAAATTTTTCTGATGGCCTAAGAAAGTGTTTGGGATCACACGTTAAAAGGTAAGATCCCCGTCATTCCTTGCTCGCACAAGTCTCTTGAAGACTTCTGAGGGTGGCAACCGAATGATGGATAAGAAGAAAAAGTAGTAGATTTCAGCTCGAGGTCGTGCGACGCGTAGCGGAGGGAACAAGAAAAACGGGAACTAAAATCTAATATTTTTCCCGTGTATAATACACTATTTTTTTTCTGTGGCAGGAAAAAGGACGAATCAATATTGAGAAGATATATTGAAACCCGAAAATTGTCAACGTGAAATTTGAAGTTTCTAACAGGAATTACACCTGCGTTGCAGACATCTTCATCATTATTTCGAAGTAATCCAATATCTGTCAGTCTATTTCTGTGATTTGATTTTGAAAATTTGCGATATTAGTGGTTGTTTAGTAATTTAAGTAACCGCGAAGTGGAATGGAATATAGAAAGACTTTCAGTTCTTTCTGTGGCTTATTTTTCGGAACTAGCACAACAAAACCATCAACAGTGTGTGTATATAGATATTCGGGAAAAAATACTCACTTTTTCTCGTGGGAAAAAAGTCATTCATGAAAAGTGACATTTTATAATCTGTCAGCAAAGATGAAATGTCAAACTTTTTTCCGTCAGAGAAAAAAAAAGATTTTTCAGCAAGTTGTCTAATAGAAGATGAAAGTGGACCTTGGCAAACGAGACTCTTCTAATAACACGGCGTCATTCAAATTTTGCAAAGTGGCAGATTGCGAGACACTGAAGTGGAAAACTATCTTATTCATTCCAAGAAACGCGATCGCAGTTGAGCAATGATGATACACGATATAATACTTTCACTATAAAGAATAAGCTTTCGGGATGTTGGCGACGTTCATCCTTACCAATTTCATCAAAATGACGTTTGACTTTCTTCAGACACCTTTCATAAAATTCAAGGTTCAATTTGTGCTTGTATTCAGAAAGTAACTTGACTTGAATAAACATAAAACTAATAAGTTCACTTCCATTTTGCCTATCTTGTAACCCTATTGTTGCGCCACTGCAATGGGGAAGTTTCCTTCAGATTCAGAATTTTCTTCATAAAATAAGTTCGACACTCCTCAGTTTTATGTCCATGCTGTACAGAATGGCGATCGATAAAGTCCAATTCGTTTTTTTTTTCAAAATAAAGCAATTTCTAATTTTCGGGGCGGCAAACATTTTGAATCTAGTCTGATGATGGAGAATATAGCTAGCGAACAGCTAACGAAGAAAAAACTAATAAAACAAAAGAAGAAGAAGACAGTTTGACGTCGTTGTCGATTATATCATGAAAAATAACGATGATCAACTATCTAACAAAAGAAATGTAAACTTTAAACTAGACTAATTAATAACTGGAGATCATAATGGACACAAGTAAAACTGGTAATAGTATATTATGTAACAAGTGTTATAAACGTCCTTTTAGTAACGAGTATTTTAAGCACAAGCGGAGCAGAGCGGAGCGAGTGTTTAATAAACGAGTGTCTAGAAGAGTTTATAAACGCGTTACATACTATGCTTTTTCTACGAACTCCTAAATTTACATTAACATACCTGCTCTTCCTGCTAACCTACAAAATAATTCGAAAGGAATGGGAATTGAGAACATAATAGATGCAACTGATGCATGCAACCAGCGAGACACGTATAAGTGATATTGGTTGTAGATGTGTCCAGTACATTGCTTACTAACCTTTGTTTCACGTTTATTGCCATGCTTAGCGCAGAATAAATAAATTGTTCTCAAAGATGGATGCTTCATTTTTACACTTCTTGGAGATACGCAAGTACCAAAACATTCTCTTCGATTTCACTTGCTTATAATACATTTCGCATATATTATCAATGAAAAATTCTGATACAAACGAAAATTGTTTGAATAATTATGATACAATATTCGAAAATGACATTTGACAGCTAATACTTGACAAGCCAGCCATGTCTCAAATTACTGAAGCTGTGTTTAATGAACTGTGTTGCCATGGTAATGTGTTTAAGAAATCGTGTTGCCATGGTAACGTGTTTAATATTTTGAATAAATCACAGATCGTCAATCCGTGATTAATCGATCATTTAGCGTGGTACGTATCCGTACGCTAAATGCCCTTTTAGTTATGTGAGTAGAAAAAAAACATACATAACCACAAAATGATCAGCTTCCGCTTTCCCACTGCCTGTTAGTGTTTTGTGTGGTGTGGACGGGCTCAAAGTATCATGCCCTGTGGAAAGAGATAATCTGCAACTTTCCTAACCTATATCCGTTTTTTGAAGGAACAAATTCATAAAAAAAATTACTGACAAGTTATGATTATCATTTTGTAATATAACGAAAGTGAAAAATTATACATACTATTGCAAAATATTAAAATTTATCTTTATTAGTACCTAATCAACTTCATCCAAAAAATTGAGATATTTCTGAAAATTATTCATAATACTCGAAGAAGTAGGATTGAAATACCTACTGTATCCCATATCTAATATAAACATCTTGATGATGCCGGCAACATCGTACTGACACAGGCAATCTTATTTCAACTCTGTGTTAATGTGGCTTATCATAAAGTATGTCATAGTAATGGTGAAGGTACCAAGTACCTTTTTCAATATTTTTTACGAATCTTAGGGAAAAAAACGTATATATTAAATTTTTACCAACTTCACAGTGACATGAAAACCTAAATAATGGATACTTCCCCGTTATTCATTTATCTATTCATTTGTCTGGCAGAGTGTTTATCAATTTGTCTCCTATTCCTCCTATTCTGCAGGCTGAAAATTGTTGGTGCATAACCTCAGTATACAGGGTGTCCCTAGACCAGTGGGACAGTTTAATATCTCCTGAACCAATAGGAATTTTCGAAATATTATAATTCCACATCATATCGCATTATGAGTGCTAACTTCAGGAATGACTATATTTTCTACGAGGGGCGCAAGAAAGGCTCACAAAATCGAACATCAATTTTTTCAAATGGAACCCCCTGTTTTTCATTGCATTTTCATAATCTCCTTGGAGCGTTGAATTCAATGACCTAGCACACTTGGGCTCTAGCGGGAATGATTTCCGAGATATAGGGTGTGGAAAATCGAGATTTTCCATTTTTGGGAATTTTTTGTGTCAAAACTATTCATAATTGGTCAAAACGACTTACATGTCCATGTCTTAAATTTTGATTTACTATTTAATCGTATTTAATTGAAACAAATACAGGGTGGTGTGGAATTCTGACTGAAACTGAGAATTCTACACCACCCTGTATTTGTTTAAATTAAATACGAGTAAATAGTAAATCAAAAGTCAAGATATGGACATGTAAGCCGTTTTGACCAATAATGAATAGTTTTGACACAAAAAATTCCCAAAAATGAAAAATCTCGATTTTCCACACCCTATATCTCGGAAATCATTCCCGCTAGACCCCAAGTGTGCTGGGTCGTTGAATTCAGCTCTTCAAGGAGAATATGAAAATGCAATGAAATACAGGGTGTTCCATTTGAAAAAATTGATGTTCGATTTTGTGAGCCTTTCTTGCGCCCCTCGTATAAAATATAGTCATTCCTGAAGTTAGCACTCATAATGCGATATGATGTGGAATTATAATATTTTGAAAATTCCTATTGGTTCAGAAGATATTTAACTGTCCCACTGGTCTAGGGACACCCTGTATATATAATAATCTGCATCTGCATAGTGCTTTTTCTTTACACAGTCAAAAATTTCCTGGCAGAATATCAGGTAGCTTTATGTGACAAGATGAAATGTGAGCAATTTTGCTATTCAATAAGACAAATACAAAAATGTTTATTATATCTGTAAGAAAATGTCATAGCAACGAGGAAAAATCCATGGGACAGGATTTTTTGCAGGCGAAATAAAAGTAATGAAAAACCACTCACTTGTGCTCTTGATTTCTTCTCTTGTGACAGCTGATCTTGTAGTGAGGCCACCTCAATTTGCAATCCATCTCTTTGATTCTGCAATGACTGAAGCATAGACTGATATTCTGTGAGCTTATCCTCCGAATTTGATTTTTCTATCCTCAGCTCGTTGGCCTGTTTTCTCAATTTCTGGCAGTTCTCCGTTTCAGTCTTCAACTTCTCCTGCATGTCATTTACCTAGAATCGGGAATTTACTCTTCAGATAGAATTATAGAAGATACGGCTAATATGTTTCTAGGTTATGACCACTAAATATAAATCAATTTAACGAACTGAATTGCTGGGTGAATTGAATAAAAACTCTCAATTAGTTTTATTTCTAATGCTAATCAAAATTTCTCTCCTACTAATTACCACTTCAATTTTTTGTTGCATAAACATCAAGGATTTTCTCCCTGTACTTTTCCCTGTACTTTCGTATTCCTAGGGCGATTTGAATTTTGCTCCTCACAGTATACTACTCACAATTATCTACTTCTCCAAGCAAACAAAAATTATCAATCAAAATTTCTTAGCCAACTGTGATCACATAAACTCCACCAAAATTAAAGAAAACGGATTAGGCATTTATTTACAAAAATTTTGATCAAGACTATCGATTCGGACTAGCCACAAATACTCCAATATCAATAGTTGTATAATTGAACTTTTCAAGTCGCCGTGTATAATAATTCTTAGAATTTGAATATCAGGCATGATGGCAGTCAGGATTAGATCATCTGGCTACAGAGTGAGATAAATAACTAATATCATTAAAAATTTTGATTTTTTAATCAAGGAATAAATAGGAACTAAATGATACCTATCAAAAAAATAACATCAACAATTAGACAAAGAACAATACAGCAATTATTTGAATTTACTGGAATTTTTGTGATCGCAGTAGGCTAAGGAATTGTGAATCATAATTTTGTTCGCTCGACAAAGTAGATAATTTTTGGTAATATATTATGAAAAAAAATATTTCCAAATTGCCCTGTATTATAAGACAAATGCAGTACTTGGCTCTGGTAGGCGATTCATAATTAACATGGGGAAAGCATATTGACATCCTCATAGGAAAAGTATCTCCCATTATTGGTGCTTTGAGAAGATGTCCTAAACTTAGTACATATACATCAAATATCATTCTCTATTCACATATACTCAGTCGAATTAACTATCTCATAAATATTTGGGGATCTTGTTCCAAAAATAGTTTCAACAAAATTTCTGTTCTATATAAAAAGGCATTGAAAGTATTGTATCGTCTTCCATATGACACTCCAACGAATCAACTGTATAAGGAAACAAACACATTTTCTTTGGAAGAGCACTTTTTAATCAATACTCTCAAAATTTCCTATTATATCATCAACAAAAAGCTTAAATCAAATTTTATATTAATCAGGAATTCCGAAATTCATGATCATCACACTAGACAATATAACTTGTTTCATCTTGAAGCTGCAAATTCTAAACTTGGGCAAAAAAAGTTTACACATGAGGCGATTTCGAAATTCAATAAATTACCAGATGATATCAAAAACAGCCCAAATATTATGCAATTCAAAAATAAAGTTAAGAAATATATTTATATGCAAAGGAATGATCAAAGCTGAAAGACTGTTGTTATTTGATTTTATTCAGAATACTCTGTAGTTTGATATTTTTGAAATCCCCTGGTATTTGATGCGATTTTTGATAGTTATCAATAAAGTGACATTTTTGGAAAAAGTCAGTCAGACTATCAGTAATATATTCAAGAAATAGACGAGTTTCTCGACGAATAACTACTCGAACTTTATTGTCTGCACCGGGGTATGTAGCAATGATTTTTCCCATGGGCCAATTTTTTCTTGGCATTCTGTTGTCAAGAATGTTGTTATTTGATTTTATTCAGAATACTCTGTAGTTTGATATTTTTGAAATCCCCTTGTATTTGATGCGATTTTTGGCAGTTATCAATAAAGTGACATTTTTGGAAAAAGTCAGTCAGACTATCAGTAATATATTCAAGAAATAGACGAGTTTCTCGACGAATAACTACTGAACATTTATGGTCCTTTAAGACAGATAGCAATTCCAGAAAAAGTGTTATCTCAAGAAAACTTGATCTTATTATCTCAGGTGAAGATGGAATAGATAATGCACTGAAAAATGTATATACGATGAAAGATATGGATTTACCGGCACAAAGTATCAACATAAGAACTTTCAAATCAGAGTGGCCTTATCTGAGACAATTACAATTGAAGGAGTTGGATTTCATGAAACCACGATTGCTGATTGGTCAAGATCACTGGGATTTGATTGTGTCTCGTCAGCTAATAGAAGGATCAAAAAATGGTCCAGCAATTTCCAGAACTAAATTGGGTTGGGTTATACATGGGAATGTAGAAAATTATAGAAAAAAAGTCGACGACACTGTATTGTTAATAAGAAATCAAATAGACGATGATGAGGATTTGCGTATACTGGATGATCGAGTGAAATAATTCTTTTGTTTGGAAAGTTATGGGATCAAAAATGAATCGGAAAAATCAGATGGTCAGAAAGAGGATGAAATAGCTGAAGAACAAGCCAAAATATCAACAAAGAGATCAGGAAATAGATGGGAAACAGGCTTATTGTGGAAACCTGATAACATTCCATTTCCAGACTCAAAGCCTACTGCATTAGAGAGACTTAAATATATCGAGAAAAAAATGGATAGAAATCCAGAGTTTGCTCAACAATATGAGAAGAAAATACAGGAGTATTTAGATAAAGGATATTCACGATGCTTGGACGAAGATGAAATGAAAAATGATTCAACAGACTCGACAATCTGGTATATACCTCATTTTGGCGTCATTAATGAGAATAAACCTGGAAAACTGCGATTTGTGTTCGACGCAGCTTCCAAAGTAAAGAATAAATGCCTAAATGACTTTCTACTTAAAGGACCCGATTTATACAACTCTTTGGTTACTATGTTATGGAATTTCCGACAGAAGAATATCGCATTTTCTGCAGACATTCAAGAGATGTTTCACCAAGTCAAAATCCGCCCAGAAGATCAAAATGCACAAAGATTCTTGTGGAGGAGAGGAGGAAAATTTGATAGAAACAAAGCCGCTCAGGTATATGTCATGCAAGTCATGATTTTTGGAGCAGTTTCATCGCCATATAGCGCTCAATATGTAAAAAATCGAAATGCATTAGAATTCATTGGAACATATCCTGAGGCTGTAAATGCTATTGTCAAAAAACATTACATGGACGATTATGTAGATTCAGTTGAAGAGGAAATTCAAGCTATAAGGTTGGTGAAAGAAGTAATACACATACACAAACAAGGAGGATTCAACATACGAGGTTGGATCAGTAACTCGAAGAAACTTATAGAGAATATACCGCAAGAATTGATAGGTGACTCAAGTTCCCCTCAGAGAGTATTGGGAATATCATGGTTCCCAGAAGAAGATAGCTTGTCATTTCCCTTGAATTTTCATAAGGTTGATAAAAAACTTTTAAACCCATGTGTTATTCCTACCAAAAGAGAAACACTCAAAATCATAATGTCAGTTTATGACCCTATTGGACTTCTAGGAATTTTCGTCATTAGAAGCAAAATATTAATGCATGATATCTGGAAGAGTGGAATAAAATGGGATGAGCATATTCGTGACAAGGAACATAAAAAATACCTCAAATGGTTAGAAGACTTGGAACAAATAAAATGTATCAAGATTCCACGACTATATATTGAAAATTTTAATGATTTTACAATACAGCAACATGTGTTTTGCGATGCTAGCCATTCTGCCATGGCTGCTGTGAGCTACTTTCGTTTTGTACAACAAGAAAAGAAAAGTGTCGCTTTAGTCAGCTCTAAAACCAAGGTAGCCAATTTGAAGACGATGACCACCCCCCGATTGGAGTTAGAAGCTGCTTTGATGGCAAGTAGATTGGCTTCCACAGTAAAGAAAGAACACACCTTTGGGATCACTAGAACGTACTTTTGGACTGATTCAACAACAGTACTGTTTTGGTTGAGAAACAAGTCCACAAATAAACGCAAGCAATTTGTTGTCAATAGAATCTCAGAAATCCAGGAAAACACTAAAATCTCAGAATGGAATTGGATATCAACAAAAATCAATATTGCTGATCTTGCTACTAGAGATGACAAGAAATTGAGTATTGAAGAATCTCGTTGGTTAAAAGGTCCTGAATTCCTGTACAGGGATGAAGAAGAATGGCCTCAAGGAAATTTTGAAGAAAAATGTGAAATTATGGAAGAATTGACTAACTATACACTGACGATAACGAAAGAAGAAATTGAATTTTTGCCTGACATAACCAGAATATCGAAGCTGACGTATCTTCTGAGAGCTACAGCATATGTATTCAAATTCATTCAGTTATGTAAGAGACGAAACCATGGAATAGAATTGAATGTAGAAGATATAGAAAACGCAGAGCGATATTGGTGTAAGAAATCACAGATAGATAGTTACCCGGATGAGTACCGACTATTAAAAGAGGGTAGATTCATCTCGAAAACAAGTAAACTAATACGATTATCAGCTATGTTTGAAGATGGTCTGATCAGAGTTGGTGGAAGAACAGATTATGCTACAGATTTGAACTACACTACAAAACGACCAATTATTTTAGATCCAGGACATCGTTTTACTCGGCTATCAAGGAAGAGAATTGATAATCAACGAGTTGAGGCAAACATTTTGGATTGTGCAAGTACGGAAAGCTGTTGATAGAGTAATTCGACAATGTGTTTCATGCATTAAGAAAAGTGCTAAACCGTCAGTTCCAGAAATGGGACAACTACCCGAATTTCGACTGAAACGACCTAATCGAGCCTTTACGTATGTGGGAATGGATTATTTCGGACCTTTCAGAGTGAATATAGGACGACGAGTAGAAAAGAGATATGGGGTAATGTTCACATGTCTCTCAGTAAGAGCGATTCATTTAGAATTGGCTGAATCATTGACAACGGATTCATGTATTTTGGCACTAAGACGATTTATATCTAGACGTGGAGAACCGGAAGTCATTTGGAGCGATAATGGGACCAACATGAAAGCAGCAGAAAAAGAATTGAAACAAGCTCTGAAAGAAATAGACTCGAAATTGATACAGAATGAGATGGTAGCTAAACAAATTTCATGGAAATTTATTTGTCCTGCTAGCCCTCACATGCGTGGGAGAGAATGATACGGTCTGTAAAAGAAGCATTGAAAATTACGTTGAGAGAAAGAAACACAAGACAAGAAGTCCTTACAACGTTATTGGCCGAAGCTGAGAATATTGTTAATAGTCGACCTTTAACATATGTTTCTAACGATGCAGAGGATATTGAAAGTATCACCCCCAACCACTTTTTGATCGGAACCTCAAGTGCTTCAAAATCGCCAGGTTCATTTGAAAATCGTAGAATAGACATCACAAAGAAGTGGAGATATGCACAAAAATTAGCGGATCATTTTTGGCACCGGTGGATTCGTGAATACCTACCCACTTTAACAAAGCGAACGAAATGGTATAGAGATGGTCATCTCTTGAATGTAGGAGATTTGGTAGTAATTTGTGACAACAGAATGCCAAGAAATAATTGGCCCATGGGAAAAATCATTGCTACATACCCCGGTGCAGACAATAAAGTTCGAGTAGCAGACGTGAAAACTCAAACTGGGGTTTACCGAAGACCGGCCACGAAATTATGTCAACTTTCTATGTTGGAAGAGGTCGAAGACTTTTCTTAGGGGAAGAATGTTGTTATTTGATTTTATTCAGAATACTCTGTAGTTTAATATTTTTGAAATCCCCTGGTATTTGATGCGATTTTTGATAGTTATCAATAAAGTGACATTTTTGGAAAAAGTCAGTCAGACTATCAGTAATATATTCAAGAAATAGACGAGTTTCTCGACGAATAACTACTGAACAAAGACCATGAATTTCCTTTTTTCTTTTTTTTTTTCACTGTTTTTATTTTTCCCCTTCTTGTTCACTATAATATGACTGTATCTTAATGATATGTAAGTTTTGTTCACTATTTGTAATTTCAATTATACAACAGTCTATAATACTTCATGAATGATCTTATACCAGGAATTACTGTCTGATCATTCATGTCATTCCTACTAGAAAATTAATTATACTTTATATATTATTTGTATGAAATGTATCAATGAAGAAAAGAATGTAATGCAATAACTGAAATAAAAATAAAAATAAATAAAATAATCTAATACAACCCCAAACTGTATACATATTTGTGATAAATTATCGCTTTTGATCCTTTTTTGCAAATTTCGACCGTCATCTGATAACGAAATGACATTATGTCCCGAAGGCATGTAAAAACATTGTATATTATCGAACGGTACATATGCCAATCACTATCTTATCCCTACCCGTGCTACCCCTTATCCTCAAGTCAGATCTATGACACAGCGATTTTCTTGCTGTAACACCCGTTATGTGAAAGAATGTCGCATGGAAACCTTTGTATAATTCAAAACAGTGTGGAACTTACCTGTTTCTCGAGCACCTGAATCTTATCGTTGTGTTGCTGACTATTGTTCAACTCTCTCATCCTTTTACTTTGCTCTTCATCGAACCTTTTTTTCAATTCTGAAAGATATTTCTCAGTATTTTTCCTAAGATCAATTTCGTATTCGGCCTTTCGTTGCACTTCCTTATAATTATGCCTAAGTATCATCAATTCCTTCTCATACTTTGTCATCTCTTCTCTAACGTCAGTTTCTCTTTGAGCTATCGTTTCTAGTTGAGCTAATAATGATCGTTGTTTATTTTCTAACGTATCTACATTAAGCTTCTCTTGTTCCAAGAGTGATTCTAGCCTAGTGACTTGAGCATTCGAGTTTTTGCTATCGTTCGTGACACTATTTAACCTGCTATCGACCGAGTCAGTGGACAACAGTTTGTAATCTGAATTATAAGTGAATCCTATGAATGGTAAATGGTTTCCAACGAATGAGTTTGGCACTGGGAACACTTCTTCTGGAGTCTCGTCTTTCTCGTAATCGTCAAAGTTGCTAGTGTCGTCATCACCTGTCAGTTCGGGCACAACGGGCGGAGCCATTTCCCGTAAATTTTCGAATGTCCAGTTTTCATTGTTGATGAAAAACGGATGCGATTTAATTTCTCCTACGCTATTTCTACCTAGACGTTTATTTCTATCACATAGTAAACCTTGTATGAGTGACTTTGCTTCATTCGAGATCTCGACTTCCTCTGGGAATGACAGGTTATTTTCGTGGTACATAATTTTGTTGTATGTTCCTAATAAGCTGTCAGCGTAGAAGGGCGTTTCGCCGACTAACATTTCATAGACAAAAATACCAACTGACCACCAATCACACTCCCTTCCATAGATACCTAAAAAAAATATAAGTAATTCAAGAGCTATAATAATAATAATATGAGTTTATTCAAAACATTTACAAAATATAGATTGGAACATACAGATAAGTATTTTGAATAAACCAGAAAAAGTGAACCTTGTAGTAAGGATAAAAAATATATAATAAATATTTAACAATATGAAATTATCAAAAGGGAAAAATTGTCTCATTGAGAAATGAGACATTATGTATTTAATTCATATATAGTGTACTGAGCATTTCATTCAATTCGCATAATTATTTATATTTATAAATACTTATTCACAATTATTATTTAGATGTTTCTAATTATATTATTGAATGTTAATTGAAGAGAAAATCATTTTTAGAGGAGTCTAATATCCAGTTTTCTATTTTACTCGTATAGGATTGTAGTGATTTTGTTTTTATATCATTTGGAGTTCCTTAATTATATAAAAGTTCAGTAGGAAGTAAATGTTATACATTTTGTTTTTTCAAAATTAATTTTAATGAATTCTGATCAAACCATTCTTTAATAATAGGGAAATCATTGATTACTTTGTTTTTCGATTCACACCAATCTTTCGCAGAGTAAAAGATAACAGTATCATCTGCGAAAGAATGTATAGTACCAGTTGAATTTAGTTGCAGTAAGTCATTCAAATAAATATTGAAAAACAGTGGACCTAAAATACTTCCTTGAGGAACACCATACTCAAACAATTTCGGATCGCTGTGGATTTTGTTAATTTCAGCATGTTGAATTCTATCAGAAAGGTAGTTTTGTATTAATTTGTATCCAATCCCACGAAATCCAATATTCTCCATTTATCTTAATAGGAGCTCATGACTAATTGTATCAAATGCCTTAGCTAAATCAAGAACTATAGAGAGAGTTGTTTGTTTTTCGTCAATAGATTTATATAAATTATTAGTTAAGTAACAAATAGCATACTGTCTGTAGGTTAATCGAGGAGGTGGTATATTCATTTTACTTGATTCTTTGGGATTTTCTCTCCTCGTTTCTATAAAATAAAAATATTCGTATTATTTCAATATATTTCGAAGAAAAATATTTTGCATTTACATGTTGAGAACGGGAGCAGATTCGGTCCCGAAACGTCCAAAGATAAGTAAAAATTCGATATTATTTCAATATATCTATATTTCTTTCCTTCAAACATTTTTTCAAACAAATTGTCACTGACAAGCTACTGGATTTTTCTTTTAGACTCCCTGATAGGAAAATTTGTTAAACGCAGTGACATTTTGGGGAAAATCATCTGATTTGATATGAGAGTGATTGGTCTTTAATTTTTTATTTCGTCTTTATTGCCATTCTTAATAAAATTTTATGAGGAAATTTTCAAGCGTTTCATGTTCAACTTAAAAAAATCAATTGTACTACTTGAAGTTGCTCGCAGGTATAACAATAATCTAGTTATTGTAAGTTACAAAGATGGCCGAAAAGCAGATACATTTTTTATACCTTGGAGCGCACGAAAGGAAATTCCTATAATGTTCGAAGAACATCCTGTGTACCTAGGGAGGATAGGGAGAGGAGGTAGGTGTTGGATTTTTTTCAGCCTTTGGAGGTAATTAGTTCTTGGGAATTCCAAAGCTTTGCCGTTCTATAGACGAACGAGTTTTTATCAAAATGGAATAAAGTTGAGTAAAATATTCATTGCCAATTTTCCTACTTTCTGTTCAGATCCATCGACAAGCAGAGACGAAGAAATTTCTGCTGGAGGAGTTACCGGTTTGATTCGATATCTGCTTCATACCCATGGAGCATGTTGAAAAATCAATAAGCTATATCCTCGTAGCCGTTTGAGACAACCCCATCAAACTTGATATTGTTGAATTTGTTATCATAATCACCAACCAATCATGGAATAAAATACAGGGTGCTCCATTTGAACATCGAAAGTTGATGCCTGTTCCGCTTCAAGGTTTCAACTTTGAGATATGATAATAACAGGAAACTGTGTCCGAGCGGTTTTTCAGTAATTGAATCACAACGGAGAAAACTTGGGTGGAACGTTTCCGATATTTTTGACAATACTCATGAGCCGCTTTCCAATTACCACAGCGAGTAGCAACGCATAACTCCGAGTAGATCTTGAACTGATCAACAGCATTCCCATTACAAAGAGCTTGGAGCACTTGAACTGGCCAATGCTACCTACCCCCTTCCCCTCGAGCACCAGCTTTTACAATAGGGTAACAAACTAAAAAATAGTCAGGCATGTCAAAGCAAAAAAGTGTCTGTCAGACGTGTCAGATGTTGGTTTATGTCATTTGAAATGATTATTTTTTGTTTTGTTGAGAACGAAAGTATAATTCAAGAGTAAAAAACAGCAATTAAGTTAACGACCGTCGTTGATAACTGGTGTGTCTGTTTTACCATCATTTTATCAAATACAAAACAATGAGTGAAATGTATCTCTGGAAATACCTAGAGGATCCCGAAAAAGGGAGTACAAAGTATAGAATGTATTTGGATCCAGGAAGACTACCTTAAAGCACAGCAACAACGCAGTATCTTCTACTAAATTTTTATTCAAATTCTTTTTCTTTTTATCATAATATCCACTTCAGCCTCGTCATCAGAATTTTCACTACTTGTTGATAGTGTTTCAGTTTGCTTGAGCATTTCCGGTGGGTTATTTTGAATGAAATGTGCGAAATTGGACATTACACCTACCAAAATCATATAATCCACAAGTTTTTCGATCATTAAAATACCAAAATCAAAAATTCTAATTCAACTTTCGAGCCAATCTAATGGGAAATCTGTCAAAAAAATGTCACTAAAATACTCGGATAAAAATTATGTTCCAATTAAAACATCCTGGTTAAGTTCAAGTGTAGCTTAGTACCGGTTCATTTCGGGGGTAACAAATGTACAATTGGAAAGCGGCTATGGAAAACAATTTGCATTTTCTGATTGCATTATGAATATATTTGAAATTCAATAATGAACTCCCCCAGTTCAGAATTCATAACACAAATATAGCACTTCAACATGATTTTCACCCTTCAGAAGCGAGCTGTTCGTTATCTTTGCAAAGTTGGTCCCAGAGTATCTTGCAGAGGGTTATTCAAGAAGCATAAGATCCTCACTCTCCCATCCTTGTACATTTTTGAAACAGTATGTTTGATACATAAAAATAAATCAACATATGATACCATTGTTGGATCCACCCGTCAAAATAGCAATTTGAGGCTTCCTATTCCTTCTTCAAATTTGATAAAAAACACAATAATATATAATGCTGTTAAGCTTTATAACCATCTTCCGTCCAGTGTTAAGGACATAGGATCAGTTGATTTTTTCAGACATTCGGTGAAGTTGATTCTTGTAGAAGAGGCATTTTATGATATTCAGGAATATCTAAATCAAACTAGTAGATAGTAGTACTTCTCGTTCTTGATGACATGTGTAATGTGTCTTGTCTATATATAGTTCGTTACAGCTTGTTAGTTCATTCATATGTATATATTTGATTTTATGTGTAACTACTTTATATTTTATGTATGTAAAAATTTTTACGACTTTGTCAATGAGATATAAATCTTCGGACAATAAAGCATATTTTGATTGTTTGATTGATTGATTGATTGATAACAGAACACAAGTGAAATGCTATTAATACACATTTTGTAGTTACATTTGTTCAAACATGAACCCCCTAGGAGTACTAACCTTTTCCATGACTCTGTAGCACCTCGGGCGATATATAATCGGGAGTTCCAACAACATTATTCGACCTAACCAAACCGTCCTCGTCCATCCTCATACAGGTACCGAAATCGGCCAGCTTCAAATGTCCATATTTATCCAGTAACATATTATCCGGTTTGACGTCCCTGTGCACGAATCCCATTGAATGGATAACGTCTAGAGCGAGAACGACTTCCATCGTATAGAATTTCGCCCAGGTCTCTGGTATATCATAGTTCGACATAAGGTTGACTATATCTCCACCCGGCATATAGTCCATGACCATGTACAGGTGTTTAGCATCCTGCGATTAGTATTACAAAAAAACATTGATTGCAATCTGTTAATAGAAATTATGGTAGATCTTATCTTATCCGTATAATACATTTTGTTAATGGACATGACTGTAGACAACCAAAGAATAGTTGTGTTATCGCTAGAACTACGTAGAAACGGTCTTAGGAATGCATTCCACGGAGATTGATTATGCCTGAGAGGTCTGTACAATATGTTACCATGAATAACTAAAATAGGAAGAAACAACTGACCACTATAAATGAACCGTTGAGCTGTCAGAAGAAGTTGAAGTTAATATTGTGGTGTGTTGAATACATTTAAATGCTTACTAGGACATAACCTAGTACCTAAAGTCTCATTCATCACACAAAAGTGCTTTTGCGCAAGTCACAGAAGAATTCGAACTGCTTCTGATGACTTCTGACTCATGTCCTAGGTGCTTGGATACATGAGTGAGAGTAATAGACTGTTGGCCCGCGACACAGGGTTTATCGATGTTCTAAGTCGGTATGCCATTTAAGGGACCCACTCACTCAGTCCGATTTAACAATAAGAAGTGCCTCGGAGAGTCGCAACCCAGTCCTTGCCCCGGCCCTGACCTCACCTTTCGGTTGGAAAAAAGTTCAAAATTTTGTTTAAGAAGAAGCTCGGCAATGAAGTGCAATGATCTTATCTCACGAAAATTGGGGCGCTTGCTGGTTTGCATACGCCTAGGTCACTTCCTAATGGCGGCATACGAACCTGAAGTGGAAATTTTTCAGTGTTATAGTCGATGATCGAAGAATGTATGCCCTTCGGCGAAACAATGAATTGGAACCCATTAGTCGATTTCCCGACTTTTGCATACGATTCCGGAGAGGGGAGCTCGACTTATTCGAACATCATTTGACTGGATATTCTTCAAATAATCGATAATCGAAGAAATGTTCAAATTTTGACCATGGTTAGTGAACCACACAGTATATATGAGATAATGGTTTGCATACAATTTGCACATTCCGTACAGGGTGTTTCACCATAAATATCTCCCATTGTAACTTAGTTGTTTCTGAACCGATTTTAAAATTTCAAAAACCAATTAAAATGATTTTCCCAAGACATTTTTCATTGTTATCACAGGCTGTTCATAACAAATGAACTATTGGGTAGTTGTTGATTTTTTTTCACTGGAACACTATATTTTATCTCACTATCGAGTTGAGATTATCATGACGAATACAGCTCTACAGCATCTAGCGATATACACGCAGCACTCTTAAACGATCATGCGCCAAATTGTGCCAGAAATATGTCTGTCGCCCCCGCAAGATATCTTCAACGGGAATTGGGTGATAACCATTTAATTAAACAAAGGTTCCAAAGCACGAGTTGTTTATTACTGTCGTTGTTGTTAATACCCAGGTGTGCGCATAGATGATCATGCGCCGCTACGTTACCGTTCTTGGTCATACTACATACAGAGTGTGAATATATTACACATTTTCCCCCTTTACTTTTTTTTTTTGCATTAGTCCTGTCTATAGTTCCGTATACACAAGTCTATCGATAGGTTTAATTTTTCGTTTAGGTCTTTCCCCCCCACTTGTACTGTCACTGTGATCTTCACTTGACACAATATGCACTACCTCCTTATTATCTACGTTATTTTCGATCGCCAGGTCTACTTTTCCAGTGGGGTTCCCCTCAATCTTTGTCAAATCAACTTCAGGAATTCCGGAAGTTTTAAACTGATATTTATGCATTTGATTGATATGCCTTTTCCAAGTTACATTTCCTATTTCGGGAACTCGTACTATGTAAGTAGATCTGCCGATCTTTTTATGAATGACCGCTTTTATCCACGTTGGATGGTCAACATTCTTATAATTTTTTACAGTTACCACTTCTCCTATTTCAAAAGTTACAAATCTTTTCCCTCCATGATAATATTTTTGTTTTGCCTGCTTTGCAAGGACGCGACTTTTCAAATCCGATGACTGTACTAGTTCCGTTGGGGGTTTTAAATTATCAAAACGGGTATTCACCTTCCTTTGAAACATAATTTCCGCTGGACTCAAACCCGTTGTGCAGTGGGCGGTATTCCTATAATCAAACAAAAAATTGCAAAGTGCTTTATTCAATGAAATACTATTGTTGACTCCCAAACTATTCTTGAGGCTATTTTTGACTGTCTTCACCGAATTTTCAGCTGCCCCGTTTGCTGATGGCTGATATGGTGGAGATGTAATATGAACTACGTCATTCATTCTCAAAAAATCTTGAAATTCTTTCGAGCAAAATGTTGTTGCGTTATCTGACACAATCTGTTTTGGTAGGCCAAATCTCGCGAAAACTGATCTCAGAATTTCAATTGTTGCTTTGGAAGTTATGGAATTCAATTGAAAAACTTCCAACCACTTCGAATACGCATCTACGATTATTAAAAATTGTTTGCTTAGGAATGGCCCCATGAAATCAATGTGTAGACGATGCCAAATTCGAGGTGGAAAAGGCCAACATTCTAAAATAGCTTTATTAGGCGTTTTTTTTTAAACCAAACAATTTTCACAAGTCCGACAAACCTTTTCTATGTCCTTGTCTAACCCAGGCCACCAGAAATATGACCGGGCCAAACTTTTCATTTTAACCATTCCTAAATGTGAAGTGTGCAAATCATTCAGTATTTGTTTTTGTAACGCTCTGGGTATAATTAATCGATTGTTCCATAAAATACACTCAGAATCTACCGTAAGCTCATTTTTTACTCTCAGAAAGGGCACTATTTCATCCAAAACCATTTCTTTTGGCCAACCATGTTGCAAATATTTTTTTATATCACACAAAGTCCTATCCGCCAAAGTAGCAGCTTTAACAGCTTCAAAGTTCATCGGAAAATTATTGTTTTCAGAAAAATAAGTTACATAATTTATGTCTACATTTTCGAAAACAGTTTCATCACTTTTAATTGGTGACCGCGATAAAAAATCAGCACAATTTTTGTTGGATTTAACGAATTCAATTTCGTATTGGTAATTAGACAAAATGACCGCCCATCTTCTCAATCTGTTGGCTGAAAACTGTGGAATCCCTTTCTGAGGATGAAAAATAGTGGTAAGTGCTTTATGATCAGTCACTAACGTAAATTTGCGACCCCAAAGATACTGATTGAATTTACAAAGTCCGAAAACGATAGAAAGCGCTTCCTTTTCAATTTGACTCATTTTTTTTTCTCGCTCTAATAAAGTTCTGGACGCAAACGCGATCGGTTTTTCGTCACCATTTGGTAAAATGTGTGTAATTACCGAGCCCACTCCATAATCACAGGCGTCATTAATTAATTTAATTGGTAAATCTGGATTGTAATGTGTTAATACCGGTGCGGTTATCAGTAATCTTTTAACTTTTTGAAAAGCGGCCTCACAGTCTGGTGTCCATTGCCAAGCTATATTTGCTTTTAATAACTGATGTAATGGGTATAGAATCGCAGATAAATTCGGTACAAACTGACCGTAGTAATTTACTAATCCTAAAAAGGATTTAAGCTGAGTCACATTATCAGGTTGAGGTGCGTTTTTAATCGCCACGATCTTTTGTTCGTCGGTATGTAAACCGTCTTTGTTTATAATAAATCCTAAATATGAAATCTCATCCATAAAAAATCGACATTTTTCTTGACTAATTTTCAAACCGGAATTCCCTAATATTTCCAACACTTCTTCAAGTCTGTTCCAATGTTCTCGTCGATTTTTCCCGGTGATTAAGATATCATCTAGGAATACAATGACACCATCCAGCCCTGCTAACAGTGATTCCATAATTTTTTGGAATTTTGCTGGAATGCTTGCGATCCCGAAAGGTGCCCGGTTATATCTGTATAATCCTTTGTGAGTTGTTATTGTCATCAACTCCTTTGAAGGTTCATCGATGCATATCTGTTGGTACGCATTTGAGAGATCTAATTTAGAAAATTGCATGCCCCCTTGTAACTTCACAAATAGTTCGTTGATGCGTGGTAGTGGAAATTGATCCACTTCAATGTAAGGATTGACTGTTACTTTGAAGTCTCCGCAGATACGTACGGTGCCATTTTTTTTCAACACAGGTACTACAGGTGTGCCCCATGAACTAAAGTCAACCGGCTGTATAACTCCCAAACCTTCTAATCTGTTCAATTCCACCTCCACCATTTCTTTCATTGCAAATGGTAAAGGACGAGCCCTGATAAATTTCGGAATGACATTAGCATCTTTCAATCTAATTGACATCACGCCCTTAGTGAATTTACCTAAACCGTGTGCAAAAACTTTTGAATATTTTTTAATCAAGCTACTTACGTCCCCTGAAGATGAGGGGAGCATAAAATCCAGCTCTGATATATTCAATCCGAACAGATTAAAAAAATCGCGACCTAGCAAAGGTGGTCCTGATGCCTTATGAATAATATAAAATTCCATAAGCTCACATTTTCCCCTAAATTTAATATTACAGGTAATTTGACCAATTGGTAAAATTTTATTGCCATTGTATAAATTGAAAATCTTATTTGATTTGTATAATTCTTTTTCTGAAAAATTTTTCAAATAATATTCTTCTGACATAACGCTAAAACTAGACCCCGTGTCTAAAATGAATTTGTACTCTGAATCTTCAATTATTAGTTCTATATAAATTGGGTTTACGTCAAAATTCAAAGAATATAAAGAATAATCATCTGATTCCAAATAATTTTGTGAATTCACATTAGGGGTTTTGTTTATCGAATATTTCTTATCATTTTTCCTTGAACATACTGAAGCTAAATGACCTTTTTTCTCGCAAATATGACAAAAACATTCTCTAAAGGAACACTTATCTGAACTGTGGTTCTTCCTTCCGCACACGGTGCATCGGAGTGATCTGTTTGTTGTTATTGTTGATACCGGCTGATTCCTGATGGCAGTTGCGCTCTGGACATATCTGCTCGCTGATGTTCCCCCTGAAGACGTGGAGGGTACCGAAGCATGCGCGCCTTCGCCTACCGGTCGTCCACGTGCGTAGTATACTTCTTCTGCTTCATGCTTGATAGCAACCACGTTGGAACCACTTGCATAT